GAGGTAAAAATATATGCTGACTGAAAGCTAATTAATTCCGAGCTTCTCAAAGACAATGTACAAAAGGTACTTTCTAGGTGAATAGTTGCACACCAGATGTGAATGACCAGATTTGCTACAGTAAGGAGGCTACATACAGAATAATAACTATAATTGTTACTTTCCGATTATGCAGTAATCAAACACAACTGTTCCTCATTATTCTTTTGGTTTGGCCATGCTGAAGTACCGAATGGGATTATGATAGAAATTATCAGCCAGCAAACTTCAAGGCTGTGTTGGTAGTTCCTGTCACTGCAATGTGCTCATGCTTTAGATTTACTAATGGGAAACTTCACCAATTTCCTCATAGACCTTCCTCCAACAAAAGCCCTCACTTCAGATGCCAGGCAGTGATTGTAATAGTTGAAGAGGCTCTACAAGTTGTAGAAGAAACATACAGCTCCGCCCCCTACCTATGCTACAGTGTACATAGGAAATGGGGGGGAAAATCTAAATTTTTAAAATTACTCTTGGAAAAACTCAGGTTAAAAATCCATTTATTCATCAGTTTCCATAAGCCTCACCCTGACCAATGGATCACAAGGATAATAAGTCTCCCCCATGACTACCACCAACACAAATTAATACTAATTTGTGATCCAGGACTCCTCAAAAAATTAACTATGTTCTTGTTCCTAGAGCACAAGTCACCAAGTAAATAGACTCAGGTCATTTTTATATACGCTAGCAGGAAGACTAGGTCAGAACAGGGTTCATTCTCTCAGGTAGCCAGGCAGGCTCCCCTTCATTCAAGGGGCATTGAATCAGTCAATATAACTGAGTTTTGCTGACTCACATCAGGCACTAGTATCAAATATGTCAGGAGTTTTGCTCGTTTGCTTTTTGGTTATGTAAACACAATGGAATCCATCACTCAGTATCCTGGATGGTGGGTGACATCTTTCTAACTTGTAGCCTTGGGAATCCAGACGTTGCCACATATCTAAGCCATACTCTCTATCGGCTCTTTAAGTAACTTTGCTAGAAATCTCCTCTCCACTTGCTTACTCCTTTATCTCTCTCAATTTGTTCAGAATTTATGTGAGAAAATAGGGGTATCCTTCATTAGCCTCCTCAAATCCTAATGACATCAAGATAGGACTTAGAGGCCCTGGCTGGTGTAGCTCAGTGGACTGAGCATGGGCCTGTGAACCAAAGGACTGCGGTTCAATTCCCAGTCAGGGCATATACCTGAGTTGCAGGCCAGTTCCCAGCAGGGGACACACCAGAGGCAACCATACATTGATATTTCTCTCCCTCTCTCCTTCCCTTCCCCTCTAAAGATAAATAAATAAAAGCCTTAAAAGATAGGACTTAGAGAACATTGAGTAAGGGAATACCCCTTAAAACTACCATACCAAGGCTGAAAAGCTGGGATCCCCAAACCTGATCAGTTTATACTTAACAAGCACCCATCAGCGTGTTCAAGCAGGGAGCTTACGGATATTTGTATAAACTCAGGAGACTTGAGTGGATCCTGAAAGCCCTGATCATTATTAACCCATTATCAACTCCCCTCTCCCCAGGCCCACCTGTATGTAAGCCCCTACCTTCACAGACCCTGTTCCTCTCCTGTTCAGGGGCCCTAAAATGATGCTGTGTCCCTGCTCCATGCTCAAGAATCTGAATTATAATAAAGGCATTTGTCCTCCTTTCTCTGCCTCTCAGAACTGCCAGGGAAAATTTAAATTCATGCTTTCTGCTCTCTGAAGACCTCCTAAATGAAAGAATAAGAAAGAAAAGAAGAGGAATAAAATTTGGAGGAAGTCAATGGGAAGAAGCATGGCTTATATGTCTTGAATGTCACTCCATATCTAGTTAAGTACTGGAAACTAAGTAGTCTACACACTGATTGATTAATTTGGGGAATGACTGAGACAAAGGTGAATTAATAGTTGTCTCAGGTGGCTGTATTCACCTGCTGGTTCTAGAATTCCACAGTCTTAAAACTAATCTGAACTTTGGATTAACTATGGAGCAGAATCAGATTTACACAATCAGAAAATATACTACTTTCCCTCCAAACAATTAGATTTGATTAGGATAATTCTGTCTATTCCCCCCTGGCCCTGTTGAATCCCAGGTATTTAAAAGTATTAAATGAGAAACTGAAGTTGAATACACCAGAATAAATTCAAAATGGATAAAAGACTTAAATGTAAATTGTGACACCATAAAGGTCCTAGAGGCAAACATAGGAAGTAAAATTTCAGATATCCCACATGGCAATATTTTTGCTGATATATCTTCTAGGTCAAGGGAAATAAAGGAAAAAATAAACAAATGGTACTACATCAAATTAAAAAGCTTCTGCACAGCGAAAGAAACTACCATCAAAATAAAAAGGGAACTGACTGTATGGGTGAACGTATTTGCCAGTGACACATCAGACAGGGCTTGATCTCCAAAATATATAAAGAACTCATACAACTCAACATCAGGGAAGACAAACACTCTAATTAAAAAATGGGCAAAGGACCTGAATAGACACTTCTCCATGGAGGACAGACAAATGACTCATAAACATATGAAAAAATGTTCAGTATCACTAGCCATCAGAGAAATGCAAATTAAAACCACAATGAGATATTATTACCTTATGCCAGTCAGAATGGCCATCATTAATAAACCAATAACAAGTGCTGGCAAGGATGTGAAGAAAAGGGAACCCTAGTGCACTGTTAGTGGGAATGCAGACCGGTACAGCTCCTGTAGAAAACAGTATAGAACTTCCTCAAAACACTAAAAATGGAACTGCCTTTCCCAGCAATTTTAGTGCTGGACATATACTCTTAAGAATCCCAAAACACCAATTCAAAAGACCTTATGCATCCTTATGTTCATAGCAGCACTATTTATAATGGCCAAATGCTGGAAACACCCATGGGTAAATGAGTAGATCAAAAAACTATGGTACATTTACACAATGGAACACTACACAGCAAAAGAAAGAAGGAATTCTTACCCCTTGCGACAGCATGGCTGGAACTGGAGAGCACTATGCTAAGTGAAATAAGCCAGGTGCTGAAAGACAAATATCATATGATCTCATCTATAAGAGGGACCTAATGAACAAAAATAAACTAACAGGCAAAGCAGAGCCAGAGGCATGGAAACATGGAACAGAGTGACAGCGACCAGAGGGGAAGGGGGAGAACAGAGGGGAATAATAGTGGGAAGAAGGGGGAAGGACTAGTCAAAGAACACATATGAATGACCCATGGACATGGACAATGGAGTGGGGATTCACTGTCGAAGTTGGGAGTGGGCTGGGTGGAGAAGGGCAAAGGGGGAAGAAATGGGACAACTGTAATAGAATAACAATATAAAAATTAAAAATAAATAAAAATGAAGTTGTGAATACTCTATAATGACATGGGCAGAGCACTCTTATTAACCTAAACACAGGAGACTACCAACACATAGATATTTCCTGAGTATCTCAGTACAAGGAGTTAGATAGCATAATTCACTCAGTGAAAAAGCATTGTATGTTAAATACAAAGTTCAATGTCGACTGTAATTGAAAAAAATTTAAAAAGCAAAACATTCTCAGATTGGATGGCAAAGCACAACCAAACTATAAACAATCAATTAAAAGCTATACCAATAGCAGCAAAAAAAAAAAAAAACACATTGTTTGAAGTCCTAGCATCTGTCAGTCTAGGAGGACTAATCACCGTGGAACCAAGGGTGGGCAATGGTATTAGGTGAGCAGAACTGCATCTGGGAAGTCTCAGGGACCAAAGTTAAAGGGGACCCATCAGAGCAATGGTGAATTCCATCCATCACTCCAGCCAGAGATGCTCGGCTGTAGTAGTTTCAAGAGCTACCTGCAGGAAGCCTCAACTTTTAAAGAACAGCAGCTTGCCCAGGGCCTTGCTGGCTTGCCATCTCCTCGGTATTAAACAGCCTCTTGGTGGCCAAGGGCCTCCCAGTGAAGGTGTTCTGAAATAAAGGTACTGTTCTTGGAGATAGGTGAGAACACAGGCATCAAAATGGCCTCTGGACCTCCTCCCACTGCTGTCTTTGCCTCTAGAGCTGGATGGGTGTTCCCCACAACACCTGAGAGTAGGGTGAGAGAAGAACAACACCTGTGGCCCTCTGTCTGCGCAGATAATGAACTATGGGCAGATGGCGCCCTCAAGTGGAAAAAGCGCCCCCCTCTACACAAAAAAGGAAGGAGGAAAGAATGCGTGCAGCCCCTCTGCACCACCCACCCCACCATCAGACAGCAGTGCCTTTGCAATGCCTCCTCTTCACTCACGCCCACCTCACACCCCAGTTACCTGCTCCTTTGGGATGGAGAAGTTCCGAACTGGAAGCAGAGTGGCTCTGCTCCTGTAGCATGCCTGCCTCCAGGCTCTGCAGAGTTCTCAGGATCTGGGCCTCTCCCACAATGCACCTCCTGGCTGCTGGTTTCCCGAATGCTTGCAGGATCTGGCCTAGCCCTGCCCTCCCCTGACTCCGGGTGCAGAGTCGGCCCTGAGCGGAGTGGTGGCTTTTTACATGATGTTGGGTAAGCTCTCCACCTGGATTCCAGATCCTGGACCTTTGCAAGTGAGGCCCTCTTGGAGGATCTCACTTTTAAGTACTGATCAGTCTGAGGGGTGTGAGAAGCTGAGGTGGTGGTGAGCACTGAGAATGGGGATCCAATTGGAAAAGTGGGTGTTTATTTATTCCAGGGGTGTGAATGGGGGCCACAGTTCGAGACATTCATTCTCCCCCTTCTGAGCTCCCAGAATTCCTCCAGGTTTCTTTCCGGTGCCCTCTGGACATTGAGATCGGTATGAACGTACAATATGCCTGTTTCTTGTGTGCAGACTGTGTGGACAAGAGCTAATGCTCATTAAGTGCATCCCATGTACCTCCGTCTTATACTAAAGGTTTTACCTGAACTGGGGTGTTTAATCCCTACAGGGCCCTCTGAGCTGGGTAGAGTTACTGCCTGTACAGACTCAGAAACTAAGTTTCAGAACGAGGATGTCTTCCCCACAGCTCACAGATGACAGAGCCAAGGCCTGCAGGCGAGTCTTCCAGAGCCTGTGGGCCACCCCTGTGCTATGATGCTGGCTGAGTCCACGTGCAGTAAAGAGGCCAGAAGGGAGGACCTGAGGAGGGGACAAGCAGGCTCAGGGGCTGTAGGTAGAGGCAGAGGAGGAGGAGAAGCTTGGGCCCGTGGGTGGGAACCCAGGAGGTTTTTATTCACTTGTCCAAGGAGGGTTTCTCACTGTGTCTGTGCTACAGCTGCAGTACAGGGTTCTGCCCTGTGTCACATTGGCCACATGCAGCCTCAGCTCCTTGTCATCCACACGCACGATCTGGTAATCCGCTCCAGGAAGGGATACGACCTCCTTGTCCCCAGAAAACCTCAGAGTGGCCAGCACCTGGAGTTGCCCCTGGAGATCCTGTTGGTACCAGCTCATATAGGGGTACTGGGTATCCTTCAGAAAGCACTGCAGCATTTCAGCCCGTCCGAGTCGCACCAGGGCCCACTTGGGCCTTTGCTCCATCAAGCTTGAAGTGGCCCCTGAAATACACAGGCAGGTCAGGCTGGAGGCACTGGGGGGTGGAGGTCACCCCCAGAAATAATTAGGGCAGCCAAATCCTGAAGTGGGGGTCCCTGAGTGATGCCAATAGGAGGCACCAGGAAGCAGAAAGGATACTTTCTCAGGACAAGAGGCTGTGTCTGGGAGGACCCGGGCCAGGCTGGGACCAGGAAGCAAGACCTTCTGTGCCCCCTGGTGCCCCAGGGATCCCGTCTCGCCTTCTTTCTGTCCACCCACTGAGTGGCTTTCTCTGCCCAGCTCTGACCTGTCCTGACAGCAGCCACGAGCACCCAGCCCCACAGAATGGGAAGTGCTGCCATCCCCTGGCCCCACAGGTCCTCTCCCGCAGGGCCGTGGTGGGACAGGGCCAACCAGGCAGGGTGGGAGAGCAGGGTCCGGGCCTGTGAGGTGGCAGTTAGTGGTTGACACTCCCTGGGCTTGACTCTCAAAAGGGAGTGGCTTTTCCAGGAAACACAAGGTCTCCTCTCATCTTCTCACTGAGACTCAAACCTCAAACCGGAAAGTGTTTCTTAGTTCCTGGCCCAGCCCCCACACAGGCACACTCCCCATGGTCACTGAGTGCCTTCACGCACGGGCCCCGCACCCTCCCAGCTGTGTCCCAGAAGTTCCTAGAAAAGGGCTAAAATATCTCCCTGCAACCAGACGACCCCCATAGATTACACAAAGACCTCCCTCCACCCCCCAGTGGGTCACCTATACGCAGAGACTGCCACCAGGCCACACTGGGCATGCACAACGGATGCTCATCTCCAATTTCCCACGTTCCGCTCTAAAAGGGCGAGCAGAAATTTAGCATCGGACGCTTAATTCTCCTGGTTAAAAATAAGGGAAGGGTCTTCCCTCCCCGCCATTTTCTTAGAGTGTTTACTTTAGAAAACTTGTGAGTTCTTTCTCTGTCTCTGAAATGTTTGTAAATCTATTTTTTTTTTAAGATTTGTTATTCACTTATTTTTAGAGAAGGGAAGGGAAGGGAAGGAGAAAGAGAGGGAGAGAAACATCTATGTGTGGTTGCCTCTTGCGCCCCCTACTGGGGACCTGGACTGCAATCCAGGAATGTGCCCTGACTGGAAAATGAACTGGTGGTGACCCTTTGCTTCCCAGGCCTGTGCTCAACCCACTGAGCTACATCAGCCAGGGCTGTATGTAAACCTTTTAAAAAGCCAAACAACTGTCCCTGTCCTGGTGGCTCGGTTGGAGCATCGTCCCATACACCAAAAGGTTGTGGGTTTGATTCTTGGTCAGGGCACATACCTCAGTTGCAGGTTCGATCCCTGGTCAGGAGATGTACAGGAGGCAACTGATCAACGTTCCTCTCTCTCCCATGCCTCCTTTCTTTATTTCTAAAAACAATGGGGGGAAAAACCCCATATCCTTGGGTGAGGATTTAAAAAAATTTTTTAAAGACAAAAAACTGTTGCCAGGGTTAAGACCCAGGAATGCCTTTCTCAAAGATCTGCAGCCATCTCTTTGCAATATTAATGTCTAGGACGATGAGCCTAACTTAATTTAGAGCAGACAGCTCACACCAAGTTGTAAATGACTCCCTGTCATAAAGATATGTTTATTTTTCCTTCAGATAAAGCCAACCAGCGAACACAGAGGGACACCCCAGTTACCCAGTGGCTCTGAGATGAACTATGGGTTAACAGAGGGTCGCAAAATAACCTTGCTTATTTTGAGAACATGCCTGTAATGGACTGGGTCTCCAGGCCTGAGTAAAAGGCTGAGGTTTCTTTGTCTTAGAAATCTGTTCAAGAAATGCCAAGGGTGTGTGCCACGTTCTGATTTAATGCTGATTGAGTAATGGAAGGATTTTCTTTCTCTTCTGCCTTTGGGACAAGATCTTCTGAGTTAAGAGATTTTGTTTTCCACTGTATTTCCCCAGTGACTCATTGTGCTGTCGTTAAGTAGCAGTGTGACTTTGGGCCTCAGTGTCTCCATTTGTGAGATGTAGATAGTAATGAAAGCGACTTCATACCTGGCTGATATAGCTCAGTGGATTGAGCCTGGGCTGTGAACCAAAGGGTCACTGGTTCAATGCCCAGCCAGGATACATGCCTGGGTTGCAGGCCAGGTCCCCAGTAGGGGGCGCAAGAGGCAACCACACATGGATGCTTCTCTTCCTCTGTTTCTCCCTTCTCTTCTCTCTAAAAATAAATAAATAAAAGCTTTCAAAAAAATGAGCAAAAAATTTCTAAAAAAAAGAAAGTGACTTCATAGGAATAAATTAAAAACACATGAAACATTCTCAGAGTAACGCTTGGCACAGAGTAAGCACATTGTAAACTGGACCTCGATTATTCAATGGCAAGTTTCCCATCCATTAAAATATGATCAAGTTAACAGTAGCATTTATCTTTCTCTCATCGTCTATCACTTAGTAATCAACAGAGATTAGAATCACAAGTGCCTCTAACTTTTTTAACATTAAGAGGCCTCGTTTTTTAGTGGGTTCAGAAACCAGTGATCTCCCACCTCTCCAACCTCCGTGTTTTACAGGTAACAGTACAGAGATACACAGGGGTCAGCAACCAAACTTCACTATTTCAAGATGTTCAAGTCAGTGTTCCCAGTGGGTGTCTATGCACCGCAGATAATAAATGAAGATGGGAATTGGAACAAGGCAAGATCCCAGAGCCACGACCCTGGAAGAATCCTCACGTCAGGGCCCAGCAGTGGCCTGGCGTCCTGGAGGTTTACACCTCCCAGGTTCACTGTTCATGTTTTTATTCTTCCAAAGTTTTAACACACACAGCAATAGGGTTCGCATGATTTTCTCAAAGGATCCATTGGGGGACAGCATAATACAGCTTATAAATCCACTTGGCTTGCTGACTTTGAAATCGTGTGCTTCTCGATTTAAACAAAAGACAGATTTTTCATGCTGTACCACTTTGTGTATGAAGTGACTTCACTGATTTTTTTTATCACCCTATTTCAAAATTGCACCATCATCCACTTGTGCACAAAATGTCCATTGTGCTGCCTTCTGAGTAACGTGCTGATTCACTTTTGCGTTTTGTTCCCTTACCTGTTTCCAACTTCATCACCTGGAGAGGGAAAGGCATTGCCCAAATCGAACGTCCTGAATGGCAGAAAGATGCATTTCATCCTGCGTTTTGCTTCGGGGAGAGTCACTCTGGGGATCAGATGGTGAAAGGAAAAGGGGCTGGGAATCCAAGGACAGGGAGAGCAGGGTCATGGGCAGCAGCCTGCCGGGGCCTTCAGCAGACTCCCTGAGTTGTGGTGGCTGTGACTCTGGTTCCTTCCCATGACTGTGCCTCCTCCTTAGGCCAGTGCTGAGGCCGGGAGACAGACTGTGGCCCGAGGAATCTTGGGCACATCTCAGTTTACAGGGCTGGCGGTCCTGTCTCCCTGCTGTCCCCTCCCTTTGCCTTAATCCCCAAATATGATTGGGATCAGAGTGTCTCTGATACTCCTGTTATCTCCTCCTGGGATCCCTGCTCCTCAAGGTCAGTGCCGCCCCAGGCTCCTTGTCTGGTCTTGGCCTGGTTCCCGTCCTCGGCCAAGGTAAGCCTCTTCTTTCCAGGGGGCTGCCTAGCTCCCTACCTCCTCCCATGTCCCGAGCTGGGCATTAGGGCTGTGCCCCTAGGAAATGTGTTTTCTCCACCACCATATCCCAGTTGCTATGCAGTGGCTCAGAGCCGCTGCAAACCACCTCACCTGGGCCCTTAGCAGCTCTGAAGGACTCACTCAGTAGGTAATAAGAACACAGAGGTGCTGAATGTACGCACAGGCAGGTGCTCCAAGTCCTGTCTACCCCCGTTGAGCTATTCCTGTGGGAGGTGGGGGGTCCAGTTTCTGTGCCAGGAGAGGCTCTCCAGACTCAGGTCCTTGTTAACTTTTCTGAGCTGCTCCACTGACTCCTGGAGAAAGGACCCCGGGGGTCAGTGACGTGACTTCCTTCCACAGAGGAGCTATGTCTGACCTGGGGAGGAAGGAGCTTCGGGGTCAGGGTGAGACTTTGGTGCCCTTGCTAAGAAGCAGTCAGTGATGACACCAGCTGCCTCCAGGATGAGCCCTGGTGCCAAGACCGGCTGGGGTGTTTGGGGCCTGGGGGGAAGAGGAGTCCTAGGGAAGGGTGGAGAGAGCACTGGCCTGGGGGCAGGGCCCTGTGTCCCCTGCTAACTCTGCCTGCACAGTGACGGCCACTCATGTTACCCCTGGTGTTTCCTCACCTAACAATTTGGTGGATTGGAATGTTTCTAACATTAAGTGGATCTAATACTCCTTTCTACTCGTGTGTTCTCGTATTCTAACATTCCTTCTGCCCTTTTAGTATCCGCCTGATACCAAAGTGCTGGCACATGGGGACACTGGGCCAAGCCTCCAGTGAACGGCCCTAAAGGTAACCCCTCTGAAAGGCGATTCGTGGGAGGAAGGATAAAGCCCAAAGCCTCTCAAATGCAAGTTCACGTTTATCCCCATCTCACCCTCTTCTTCCCCTCACTGCCCCCTCCCCTTTGCTCCTCCCCAAAATGTGCAGAAACGCAAAGCTACCCAGGCTGGCCCACCTGAAAGCTGATTACGGCTCCCTCACCTCTGTGTGTCCTTCCCGGGATTAGCGGCAAAGACTCCTTAAAGAGATGGAAATCACAACCTTCCCTTGACCCCTCCCAGCAATGTCTCTCCTTCCTGCTGGGCTGGGAGGCTGAAAGGCTGGCTCCCACGCACCCCTATGGGACCTGTATGTGTGCTCCAGTTCTGTATAGAGACAAAACAGAAACTGTCCATAAAAACTGGGGTGAGGGACATGTGCCAGAGGACGGAGTGCTCAGTAAGGACATCCAAGGATCCAGGGATGGGAGGAAGGAAGGGAGGGAGGGGAGAGAAGAGAGGAGAGGAGAGACCTCCTTGATTCTGTGAGGACCCTGTTGGCAGGACACCAGCATGAGGTTGGGGTAGACGAGTTTAGTAGATTTACTCCTGACCACTTGCTGCCAGGTCCCCAGTCCAGGGCAGGAGCGAGCTGCTCCACATGCTGTCTGGACGCCTCACTCCTCCGGGGTTATGTAAGTGGCACCACTCTGCACCCAGGGGATGGTGATCAGATCAGAAGAGCCCCAGTCTGTCCCTCCCCCATGGCTCAGTGCCCAGCACAGGGAGAAGCACATATAAGTCCACACCTCTTGAGTGTCCACTGAGGAAGAGATGACCCCCGGAGCCATGGCCTGCACCCTCCCCTTCGGAGTCCTCCTACTTACAGTCCTTGCAGCCCCCTCCCAAAGCAGCCGTCAGGGCCCAGCATCTCGCTTGCGTTATTCCAGGTTTCTAGATTCTTCCAATGCCGTTTTCCTGCGCTGGGACTTTGACCTTGAGGCTGAGATAATTACCTTTGAGCTCCAGGTCCAGACAGCTGGCTGGGTGGGCTTGGGCATCACGGACCGCTACACCACCGTGGGCAGCGATCTGGTTGTTGGAGGCGTCTTGCCGGAGGGCAATGTCTATTTCTCCGTAAGTCCCAGGGTGACTTTCTCCCCAGAGTGAGGGTCTCTTGCTGGGTTCAGCATAGCTCTGAGGCCAGGAAAGGGCCACATTTTCCAAACATAGGCAGGCACATGCCCGGCACACCAGCCAGTGGCTGCCTGTCCCAGCAGAAGGGGTCCACTGGAGGGACTCAGGCTACGCCTTCCAGACTGCGACATATCCCTCAGTGCTCAGGGACAGACACACTGGATGGAGAGAGCCCTGACCCACATGTCTGCTAATAGCCCCTAAATGCAGGTCACTGCGGGGAGAGGCGCAGCTGCTGAGATATAGCCCTCACCCCCAGTTTCCTGTGAGCTCTGTCAGGGGGACCACAGCATGAAATAATCTAATAACCACAGCCCCCAAGGCTGTAACAGCTTAACATCATTATGCACTTTCAATTAACCAGCCATTGCTCCAAATCATTTGCACATTAGACTTCCCAGCATCATTGTGAGGTGGATGAGTATTACTCCAGTTTTCAGGTGAAGAAGCTCACTCGTCTCCCAGTCTCATCCATCTCAACTGTGTTTATAGGGGACTGCTAACATTAAGAGCCACAGAACTGGGTGAATTGAACCGAGAGTCCAGAGCATCAGTGAGCTTTCCAGGGTTAGGGATACAGGAATGTTAAGACTGAGGGGGATGAGATTTAAAACAGAAGTCAAGCAAGGTCAGGTGGCAAAACTCCCACTGGACGCTGTCCATTTCTCTCTCCGAAGGCTCCACCCTCAACACCATGGTCTGTCCTGGAAGCAAACTCCCTAATAAAGAAGCCCTGGGTTCTGTTGAGCTGGAACCTTGGGGGAGCTAATGGGACATGAGCTGCTCCTAAGTCATGAGCACTTGGGGCTCCTGGTTCTTACTCCTTGACCTTCCCTGGACCTCAGGATCAGCACCTGGTGGATGAAGACACCCTGGAGAAGGACGGCAGTCAGGATGCTGAGCTGCTGGGGCTCACGGAAGATGCCGTCTACACCACCATGCGCTTCTCCAGGCCCTTCCGCTCCTGTGACCCTCACGACCAGGACATTACGGTAAATTTGGGAGAGAGAAAAACACAGGCTCCTAACTTCAGCGGGGTGGGGGAACGTGGTCACCCCCACACTGGAGCCCCTACGCATCTCAGGTAGCCAGTTGCAGTCCCCAGGACTTCTGTCCCTCCCACCCCAACTGTCCCCTCTTAGAATCCACAAGCCTGGGCAGGGGGGCTTCCCACCCACTCAGCGGCCACCCCACCCGCCCCAGCCTTGCCCTCTTGAAGAACCCTGCTCGACCACACTGAACTTTGGAGAGTCACTTACCAGATGGGGACACAGGCATAGAGAGGGAATAAGAGAGGGGATGTGACTTGCTCAAGGTTCCTGGTGAGTTGGCCTCGGAGGCAGAACTGGGCCCTGACTGGTTCTGACCCTCCAGACAGAAGCCCTTCCCACCCCACTGTTTACATGTGAGCAGATGGCTTGTGTCAGCCCCTGGGTGTGGGTGAGTGCCGAGCGCCGCTCATGGGCGCAGCACCTCAATGCCTATGACCCCCCAGAGCGACACCATGAAAGTGCTGGCCGCCTACGGCCTGGACGACACGCCGAAGCTGGATCGGGAGCGCACGTTCATCAAGTCCATCTTCCTGCTACAAATATTCCACCCGGATGACCTTGACGTCCCCGAGAACACCATCATCCATGACTTGGAGCTCACGGATGTGAGACAGCCCCCATCCCACCCAGCCTGCTCCAGCCCCCTTCCCATCTTCCTGCTCTGGCCAGACCCTCCCCTTGTTCCCAGGACTCAGTGCATTCCTAGAACTGAGGTTTCTCTGACTTCCCTCAGTTCCCGGAGCACAGCCAACTGGGCATCGAAGGGAACACCCTTCCCTGGCCTGGCCCTTTCCTGGTTTCTCTGGGAGCAGCCCCCCAACTGCAGCCCAGCCTCTGCATGTCTCTCTCCAGTTCCTCATCCCTGAGGATGACACCACATACGCCTGCACCTTCCTTCCTCTCCCCATTGTCAGCCAGAAGCACCACATCTACAAGGTAGGGCGAGACTGACGGGGACCCTGTGAAGGCAGCTCAGTGGGCATGGCAGGCGCAAAGGGGATGGTGTCAGTCGGGAGACTGCTGGGAGGAAGCAGCGGGACCAACCTGGGGCCAGGCCAGGTGGGGTGCATGTGGGAGGGTCAGGAGCTCCTGGGCCCGGAGCTTCAGCTCCCAGCACTGTTTCTTTCCAGCACCACACTGCAGCCCAGACGTTGATGAAGGTCACCAGTTAATTAGGAGTTAGTTTTTGCAAACAACCAAGGGCAAGCCCCACCCTGGCCCCAGAATTGGGTCTCAGCCCTGGAGGAAGTGTTGGCTGGGAGGGGCGTGGCCGAGGGAAGTCTGGCCAGAGGGAGCGCAGACTTGGGCACCTGAAGTCACATTTGGGTGATCCCAGTTTGGATCATATAAATAAAAGTGTGATCCTGGAATACGTGGCAAACGCGTGGGAGCCATATATTCTATAGAGAGTGCGTCCAACAAGGTGTGCTAAGTGCCCAGAGAGCAGGGACCCGCTGGGGTTATTCAGGGAAAGGCTGACTTCCCGGGATTTAGCGTGCGGAGCTCTCAGCGACGGCTGCTGAGAGGAGTCAGACGGGGACAACAGGTTGGGAAGAAAGAGAGAAGAAATGGAGGGGAAAGAGAAACAGAGAAGCAGGGGACAGGTGTAGTTTTATTTGGGGAAGGGGAAGGTGGGGACCAGGACGGACACGGAGGATCTTGACTGTGCCCCGCCCTCCCCCGCCCACCCAGTTTGAGCCCAAGCTGATGGAGCACAACCAGACCATGGTACACCACATCCTCTTGTATGCCTGCGGCAACGCCAGCGCTCTGCCCACCGGCATCAGCGACTGCTACGGGGCGGACCCCGCCTTCTCCCTCTGCTCCCAGGTCGTCGTGGGCTGGGCTGTCGGGGGCACAGTGAGTACCGAGATGAGGAGCTAGGTGGCTAAGCGGGGTGTGCCATTGGGAGTTGGGGTGGCCGGGCTGGTGGAAGGCCGGGAGGCGAGGGAGGTCTGGGATGGGTCGCTGCACTAGCTCCCAGCCCTTCTCGCTGCCCCTCTCCCTCCATGCAACAGAGTTACCAGTTCCCGGATGACGTGGGCATCTCCATTGGGACGCCCTTGGACCCCCAGTGGGTCCGCCTGGAGATTCACTACAGCAATTTTCACAATCTTCCTGGTGAGCATCTAGAGCATTTACGGAGGCTGCCTGATGCCTTTAGGAGTTGAGAAGGGGTTGTGGAAAGGGAAGTGGGCCCCTGTCAGTCATATCCCACCCCAGCTTTCCTGCACCTGTTCCCATGCTGGGACCCGCTCTCCTGCCTCCTGCGATCCTGCCTTTCTGCACCAGGTGTGTATGACTCCTCCGGCATTCGGATGTACTACTCGGCACAGCTGCGCAAACACGACATGGGAGTCCTGCAGCTGGGCTTCCTCACATTCCCCATCCACTTCATCCCCCCGGGCACTGAGTCCTTCCTGTCCTACGGGCTGTGTAAGACAGAGAAGTTCGAAGAGGTGAGGCTGGGAGGTGCGCCCTCCCCGAGGGTGCTGGTTCCCCACCACAGGTCTGGCCCGATCCACAGCCCACGTGGCTGAGCCACACCCTCACTCGATGACCACAGCCCAGCACTCAGGAACATCACTCACCTGGATTATGCACAGAATGGACACATCTGTCCATCTTCTGGGGACCGGGGGGCAGAAATTGCAGCTAGGCTGGCTTGGTGGAAGCTAAAGGGGTTCATGTCAGTCTTGAGAGGAAGGTGTCCGATACTAAGGGCAGAAAATCAAGGGGCAGGGAAGTCAGAGTTCTCACCAACCCAGATGCCCCTTCTCCCTGTCACAGATGAATGGGGGCCCGGTGCCTGACATACAGGTGTTTGGCTACCTGCTCCACACCCACCTGGCTGGGCGGGCTCTGCAGGCCGTGCAGTACAGGTAAGGGAAGGAGACACGCATCTGAAGGTTTCCCTTGTGCATGTGGGACATAGAGCTTAGAAACAGTTATTTATTCTGCAGCAGAAGGCTGGGAGTAAGGAGGAGCCAGAACCGTCTATAGAGCAGAGAAGCCTGGAGGAAGATGGTGGGAGGAGGAGCCGTATTGCTTTAGGGACAATCTGTACCCACAGGGTGACCCCACACATGGCGTCTTCATCTACAGACACCCTCCCACTTCACCCTCCTCTTCTTATTCCTGCCCCCTCCCATCCTCTCCCTATAGAAATGGAACACAACTCCGAACAATCTGTAAAGACACTTCCTACGACTTCAACCTGCAGGAGACTCGAGATTTACCTCATCGGGTGGAGATCAAGCCGGTGGGTGCCCAGGAGAGGCACGGTTGGAGTCAGGGGGACAGGCAGTCTCGGGGCTCATGACCTCAGCCGGGAGAGCTCTGTGACTGCACCAGTGCCCCTCTGCCTTACCTTCAGCCTTTGTGATTCACTCTCGATAGGGAGATGAACTACTGGTGGAGTGTCGCTACCAGACACTGGACCGAGACTCCCTGACTTTTGTAAGTAGCTCCCTCCCCACCACAGTCACCATGACGACAGCCTCAGAATGCAGCCCCATCCCTGGCCTTGGATATCAAGCAACTGATTGTTCCAGCTGAATCCCCCTCCTTTCTCCAGTGGTGTTGCCTATTCGCAGAGAGGGTTTCAGGTTCTCACATCCCAATGATAGTAAGATGGGTGCAAGGATTCCCGAAAAGACAGCACGTTAACACAACTCTGAGCGTGGACTCAGGGCCAACTTGGCCAGGTCAGAATGCCATCATGAGTAGCTCTTTGACCTTAGACAAGGTACCCAGCCTCTTCCTGTCTCAGTTTCCTGATTTATAAAAGAATCAGCAATACTATCTACCACAGAGGAGTGTTGTGGGAATTTATTGATGCAGGTAAAACATCTAGGCCATTGTCTGGCTTGCAGAGATGCTCAGTTAGAGTTAGCTACTGTGTGTCAGGGACGGTTCCAGGCTTGTCAGAGTCAAAAGGCATTGCTTGTCATTGTCATTGAGGAAGAAAATGATGCCCTTCAGAGGACTCTACTACAAGGTCACTCATCGGTGAGGATGTATTAGAAGGAAAATGGAGAGAATGCCCTGAGGGAATTCCCAGGGGACTGGCAGATCCCACCACAGTGCTAAGAACCTGTGACACTTTGGGGGGATGGGTCCCACTTTAGATGTGCACCCATGAGGCATTCTGGAGGAATTCCTGAGGAAGTGGCTTTTTTTCAAGAAGTTCAATATTGTATTTTACCCTCCTAAACCAAGACAGTGGCAGTGGAAAAATAGAGGATAGGGCAGGTATGTGGGATTATTTTTGGAAATCATACCCATAGCTGTCTACTGGTCGGAAATAGAGGAGGAGGATGGAGGAGGTGCAGTGAGCAGGGGTAAGTAAGGACCAGTGAGCTGGCTGGAGGTTAAGGGGAAAGGAAAGCACCATCATCAGTGGGATGGCCTCTCCCCCACCCCCTCAGGCCTTGTCCCCCCTGCAGGCATTTGTATCTTTGTCTCTCCATCTGGCCCCTCTTCTTCTCCAGGGTGGTGCCAGCACTATCAATGAGATGTGCCTCATCTTCCTCTTCTACTACCCCCGGAACAACATCTCCAGCTGCATGGGATACCCTGACATCATCTCTGTGGCCCACGAGCTGGGGGAGGAGGTGTCAGAGTGAGTGCCCCTGGATGATGAGCCCCCTCAAGCGTGATCTCTCAAAGTTAGATCCTTTGTGGACAGATTGTTGGCCTGCCTTTTTCTTGTGCACGACCTGACTCAGTCAGACTGTGTTTACTTTCCGGTGGTGATGCTCCATTATTTGGGGACAAGGGTCCTCCCTGAGACTTCATGAAAGCTCTGAAACTCCTTTGCAAGAAAGAGGCATGTCTGTGCAGACGTACCCCACTTCACATATGATTTGCGGGCATTTACAGGTTCGCTGAAGTCACTCCACCAACCTCCCTGAACTTCATGACCCACAGATTAAACGCCACTTCTTTAAATCATCAGAAGTTTCTTTTCCTCCCTGGTAAAAGTTCTCAGCTCTGAGTTCCGATGATACTTCTCTTTCGCCAAACTCCTGACGGTCTCATGCAGTCGTAAGACATTCCTTAGAGTTTACACAGACATGAAACTGATGCTGACGACAAGGAAGGGATTTCCCACACGTTTTGTCAAAGCTGTGAGTCCATCTTAAGCTAATGTCCTCCCCCTGAACCCCGCCCCCACCCATGCAGTTCCATGGAGGCCGTGATGGCCATGAACAATGTGGAGTGGACCCCGGAGAACATCAGAACGGCTGAGAAAGCCTGCAAGGAGGCACAGCAGATGGTGATAATAAAGACCATTGATGTGAGTGTGTCCCAAGAGACACTACCACCTCCGGTCAGGGAGGCAGGGGTACGGGATGGCACTGGGAGAAGCCAGGAACAGAGAAGAGTGAGGGAGGTGCAGGATGGTGGGAACATGGGGCTGGGTGGAGTGGCTGGGGGAGCAGGCAGTTGGGCTACTGCAGCTCCAGGTTGGGGGTGGGACCATAGTCTTCCAGTTAGCCTTCAAGGCTGCAAGGACAGGGGATGACCAAGTAAGGTCCAAAGAAAGGAAACGAGGTGGGAGGTGGGGAGGCTTCTACCACAACCTGCTTTTTTCCTTCTCCTGCAGGAGACAGTGGAAAACACAACAGGCCAGATCCCGGAGATTATCCCCACACCTCGGGGGCCCTGCTTGGAGTCATGGGGGGGCAAAGTGGAGCCCCAGGACCAGACCCCTGCAGGCTTCAAGGCCGCTGCTCCCATACCCCTCTCAGCCTCAGGCACAGCCTCCCTGAGCCTCCTCCCCCTCGCTGCCCTCTTGTTTGGGCAGGGGGCCTTCTCTTGGCTCCTCGCCACCCTGCAGGCTGCAGTCTGACAGTGTCTCCTCCTGTCCAACCTTGAAGCCACTCTCTGCTCAACCCTCCCCTGGCCATCAAACACAGAAACTCCCCTCTGCTTTGGTTCCCTGAAGTCCCCCATCTGTGTCCCTTCCGTGGCCCAGGGCACATCACTGCAGGCCTGGGCACTGTGGTTCTCTGTAAAGTGATGCAATTCATCCTCAAAAGCTTCAGAAGCCCTGGTGGGGCCACAGATGTTCTGACAAAATCAGGATCCAAGGGTAGGTGTGAGGTGGTGGGGCACTCCCGGGCAAGTCTCCTGCTCCAGCTCACTCAGCGGCAGGCCACGTGGGGAGGAGGGGGCTCAAATGCAGATGGAGAGCCCTGGGACCCCTCCTTCTCCCGTGCTGATGCCTGAGGGGGTTCCTGCTTCTCTCTTCTTCTGACATTCTGTCCACCCCTCCCCGTGAGGCAGAGACGGCAAGCCACATGGGTGATATGTAGTCAAGAGAGATGCTGTGTTTATAAGGGACAAAGCTTGAGACATCTCATTAAAATAGGACTAAACTTGCTTCCTGGTGCCTTATCTTTCCTTTAAGCCTTTGGTCTGGGACAAGCAACCAGGAAGTTTCTTGAATGGCTCAGTAAAAGGCATCTCCAAATGCCACATATAATGTGGTCCTTGCTGTTCTCACCATGCCTCTACCATTGAACGATATTTATTTATCCCATCAAATGTCACATTCTCAACACTCAAGTCAGCAGGTGTGGAGAGCCTTCCAGGGCCAGACCAGCAGAATTGGGCTCTGAGAACAGGTCAAGGGCAAGGTAGGGAGGCGTAGTCCTTAGCTCTGGGGCACAGGCCATGTAGAGGAGGTTCACACGGACAAAGTCGGCAGGTTGCACCCACCATAGCAAGGCTGGTGGTGGCAGTGGCTGCTCTGAGAGAGAGCATCTGGGGGGCACTCTGTCTTCTAAGCATGAGAAGTTCTGTGCCACCCTGTCCTTCGGGGTTTAATGTCACTGGGCCGCTGCATGAATTGCCTGGCTCATTGTTCATGTCCGCGGAAGGGATTGCTAGTCTGGCTATGCCCAGGTGCTGAGACGGATCTTGATTCCTGGTAGAACAGCTCCCAACCTCTGGGAATGGTGAGGTGCTGGGAGGTAGCCAGCTCTTTACCTTCACGGTCATTCCATCTAGAGGATTCTGGGTGCTCCCTTCTGAGATTCCAGAAACCCTTTAGTGTAGCTCCTCCATTCTCCGCTGGGCACTCGCAGCACCTGGGGCCCCTAAGCAGAGGGACTCGCTGTCTTCAAATCAAGGAGGCTTTTCAGAGTTCATGGTTATGGGGAAAACTAGGTTCCCCCAAACCCAGAGGGTCTGTGCCCCCTTTTGGGCATCTCAGTTATCATCATGCAAGGAAAGTGGAGGCTTTCATAAAAGTGAGCCGTTCTCCCAAGCAAGAGTTTTTGACCCCTCAGAGCAGAGAACCCCATTCTGCATGCCGTGAGATTAACTTCAGCTGTCAGGCATAGCAAGGGAGTGACATGATGCATTTCTTAGAGCTATAAATCACTAGATTTTGTAGACAATTACTGAAATGGCTATGTTATTGAAATGGCTACATTTGATAAAAGTCAACAGGCTGTATTTTGTTTGCTTATTGTTTCCAAGCCAGAGGTCATGAGAGGGGTGTTTGAGAAAAAGGGAGCTTTAATCTGGATGATCAGTGGGAAAACAGCAGCTACATTGAAAAGATGAAAGGCTAGCAGAGAGATGATTTAAGATGAAAAAAAATCAACTTTCAAGTGGACTTCCAAGAAGCCAAACATTATCTCTATATCAGAAAAATTAACACTGCCCATCAATTCAGTGGGCAGACTTCTGAGGAAGTGTGTGGATGCTGATGAGGATTAGAAAGACCTGATGCAGGGGAAACTTTTTAGGAGTTGGACGTGTCCAGCCATGTGGGCTCTAACATCTGTCCCACTTCCGGTGTGCTTTTGTGTGGCCAACTACTGGGAGATTAACTTGTGCCGCATCTGTAACGCAGTCTGTCATCTACATTAGCAATGCTCTAATTAATCATCTTTTTAAATAATTAGGTAACAGACTAATTTTCTTCTCCAGCTGGAATTAGAAATATACATATTTATGAAGGTCATGGGAATTGTTGTGATGATAAATTATAACTTGCCAGAGAGAGAAATATAACCTCCAGTCTAATCTGAAATTAGTAGACCTCGTATTACTCTTGTCATTATCCTATGATGAAACTTCTAGCCTTGAGCAGCTTCCCAAAGATCTTTAGGCACCTTGTGCTGAAATGAGCAATTCTGGGTTGAGGTCGACATCTCTGAGGTTTTACCATCACTGTCATTGAAACGCCTGCTGCTTCTCCTCCCAGTGCAGAACCAGCCCCATCTCACCTCACACCCGTTCACCATGGGCAGGTGAATTGAGGAAGACCTATCAGCCTGCCCACACCTGAGAGCAGAGGCTGGACACATACCATGAAGCTCAACATCTCACTTGAGGGCAGGGCTAAGCCAAACCCTCATGAAGCGATAACCCTCACGAAGCGATAACGCTCACGTTTATTCAGTGAATCACCATCAAATTACAGTGTGCTCTTTGAAAAACCGATGAAACACTCATAAGTTGAGTTTCATCACACAAACCAAAGACAATTTTACTGCCAGGACATATGTTTGCCCTATAAAATAATGCACGTGCACACACACACACACACAGCCCATGTGAACTGGATTGGCTATTTCAAAATTTTTCTTCTCTGTTATTTGTTGGTACATCGTGTTCTCAGCTAGAGCTCTCTAGAAGGCAACACATGAGTAGCAGCACGTGCAAAAAGCTTAAGAAAAATAACGAAAGTCCACTGACTAAATAATTTTATAAAGTGAGAAAAGATGGGCATTATTTAACTTAGCAGTGAAACATTTTGTTTCAGCTCCAAGCGAGCAAACAGAAAACAACCCTTGCCCCAGAAGGCCAGTCTGAGACACACCAGAAACATTCCTGGAGAAGAATTTTCCTTTACAAAACTTCAGTTTGAAAAAACACACACTCAGAGCAGCCTCCTTATAAAGTACCAGCACTATGGAGAATGTGCTGTGCTCTCAGGAAAGGCAAGGGGGAGAAGCAGGGAAAAGCCTGCGGAGATGTCGGAACACCCAGGGAATTGTGTAATAGCCGTGATAAACCTTGCATCGGCTTTTACAGAGGGAAAGTGCATCTATGAACAGTGTAGCGCTGATGCTTACGTCACCTTATAGACGGGCACACTGAGACAGGAGAGGGAAGGAAAGGAGTGTCACCCGGAAGCAGTAGACCCTGCGCCCACCTGGTAGTGGGTGATGCTCTCACAACTGGTCCCATGGAGGCCCCTGTGTGCAGTTGGGTCCGAGGGAGGCCTGGGCTCCAGCAGATTCCGGAGTCAGAGCAGCTGCTGATGTTTTCTGCCTGTTTCCAGGGCTACATCTCATGCGTAGATTTCGAGTTTCCAATTCTCAAGTGTCTTCAACCATCTGAAGTTAACACCAGGTTTTCTTTTTTCTGTTTGGTTGTTCTGTGTTTGTTTTCAGGAGTACTTAGCGTTCAAAATCCCAGGCCTTAGTCACCGTAGAATTCTACACTCAAAGGTCTGAATTTCAGTAACTGCAGAGCTATGGTTGTTTGGACAAACTCATCCTCAGTTTTCCAAACTCCAAGTGTTTTAAGTGAAGTCTTTGGCCAGCTAGTCTGTGCTGGTGTGGGCTGGCTGCAGGACCGGTGTGCCTCAGGACCCAGAGCCCCTTGTCCCCTGTCAGGGCTCGTAATGCCAACAAGATGAGCATGCTGGGAACTTCCTCAGTTAAGAACCAGTGAGGGAGTCCATGACTAATTCCACTGGCACCATTGAGAACTAGGAGTTCTGTTGTGTTCTGAGTTGGAAGGGCCTGTGAAGTGTCTTGTGTACCCTGGCATGAGGTTTATCAACTTTGTTCAGAGGACAGTCGCTTCTGTGTGGATTCCAAAAGGCAAAGGGAGCTAACCAATGATCTGTGCCCGTCATATGGAACAACATCAAGCCACCCAGACAATAACCAGACAGCCATGGAACTAGGTCAGAAAATTGTGCAAATGTGTTCAGAGTAGGTAAGAGACTTTCAGGTGCCGTAAGAAACTTAAGCCACAGATGCTAAAGCTCCTACGTGGCTCCTACATGCCGGGAAATCTCATAGCATAAGTGACCAGGCCCCGAGAGTGAAACTAGGCTGTTGTTGCCCCAGGGAAGCGCTCCCCAAACCCTCTGATCTCAGGACCCCTTTACATCCAAATTTAGTGAAGGCCCTATGCTTCGTGTAGGTGGGTTAGATCTGCTCACCTTTACTGCATTAGATATTAAAATTGAGTCATTTGTATAATGTTCTGTAAAATATTTCTTTTTTAATTCATTAAAAATAACAATATTATCAACTCCATGTTAACATAAATAATACATTTTTATGAAAAACAACTACATTTTCCAAAGCAAAAATAAAATGAGTGAGAAGAATGACATGATTTTATATTTTAAAAAACTCTTTAGTGTCTGGTTTAACAGAAGACAGCTAGATTCTCATAGGAATTCTCATAGACAGATTCTCATATCTGTCTGTATATTCATCTATGGTGACATCACACAGCAGAGAGTCTCTAGAAAATGCCATTGTATCCTAATGAGAGAAGGAGAGTGGAGAAGGCAAATAACAACATAATATTATGGAAACAGATTTGAGCTTGTACACCCAAGGAAGACTTTTGAGGCTGCCCATGTGTCCCCAAACTACGTTTTGAAATACTGCACTAGAGTTAAGCCTTCAGTAGCACTCAACCATGAGTCTATGCAAGGGAGTCTGAGTGATATAAGAAAGTAATAGATCAAAGATAAAGAGTGAGTTTGGGTGTGAAAGACCAAGAACATGCTGGAAGTCCTAACCCCTTGAAGAAGAGTAAAATAAGAAAGGAAAAGCTTGTGAATACAAGAAAAAACAGAGAAGGATATGAACTCTGATTCCAGGGCAGAAACTGCATTTCTCACGCTGTGGCTTTACATGTGTATCTCTGCCTGGGTGATTTCTGGTCTATGAAAGATTAGATCCTTGTGAGGGAATCCAGCCATTAGTGGTAACAGCAGGAATCTAAAATCATCTCCTAAATAAGATTAATTGTAATTCCCTGGAATTATATTTACTATCTATAAATATAAGTGCTTATCAAATCTGTACTAAGAGTATCAGTAGTACCATGGTAGCAATGGTTGCCAAGTTTGGGAAGTTATGTTTTTAACATCTATCATCATATTTTTACTTCTTCTTATAGTAAAGTAACCTGTAATATTCCTCATTTAATGATTTCATTTCCTGGCATCAAAGTATATAGAAGATCTACAATGGTAGCATTTTTCATATTTATAACTATAGATAGGATCCTTTTAGAAGCAATAATACTTTCAGTATGTATAATAGCAAATTACTACATTGGTAGCCATGGTATTTGGAAAAGCTCTTAGGAACCTAAAGTGTAATGTTTAGCGTTCTAATTAAATAATGTACTGTAATACTAATAGTAGTAGCTGTTCTATAGCAGTCATATGAGTGGCAGGCATTACCAGGCTCTCAGGTATGGCATTATTGCCTGTGATGCCATTGCTGAGGTATAGTACTACAGAACAAGTCGGGTTATTTCAATGACAACATCTAAAGCAATAGTATTTACAGAGCGATAGTATTTACAGTATTATCCAAGATATCAAAATCACATGTGAAGTCTGTAGCAACATGTATGAAATAACTGTAGTTTAAATGATGGGACTATCAGACATATAATTCTAATTTACAAAATAGTACTATATATTGTGGTTTCACAAAAAGTGTCCACAGAGTTAGTACTGGGCACATCTTGAGATCAGTCTTCAATGTCTACAGTGCTTGCATTAGCCATAGCTGTGAAAGCCAGTGCTAATATTTGTGAAAACATATATAGTATAAAATCATGTATCGGTTCATTGACTTCCTATGTCTGTAATGGTTGTTTTTCAAGAGATGTCTTGGGTATTTATCCTGCCTTGAATAGTATTTAGAGAACTAGAGTGGTATTTGTCGTGTTTGCAATGTAAGTCGAATGCAGTGGCCGCATTCACGGCCATTCTATCAGGAGCAGTAGTATCTGAAGCATCTACAGTAGCATGTGTAATGTCTCTGGTAACATTAGTTGTAAGTACAGGTAAAAAGCTGGCTGTAGAATTTATGATCACAAGACGGCCAGTCACTGTACCTAAGAGAGCAGAGGTTAACGTGTCTGAGGCTATCACGGTATTTGGAATAGAAACCTGTGCAGTGTTACCTGCAACTCTCCTGGAGCTACCTGCATCAACAGTACTTACTGTGTGCTCTGTACTGCTCACAGTTTTGGTGGTGGGTATAGCTGTGGCATTTGGAATGGACGTGTTTATAAGGACTGTGTCAAAAGTAGTCATTGAGTTTGTCATTTTAGTACTGAAAATATGTGTAGTGAGAGTGGCAGTGTCTGTTGTGGTGGAATTTTCTGTTGATGCAGTAGGAGATCCCATACCTGGTGTGTTTATGTGTGAGGAAGTAGCCAAGTCTTCAGTACCAGTAATTACTGTGTCTGCAGTAGCTGAAAAAGTGTTCGCAACAGGAATCATTGTGATGTTAACATCATCAGTAGTAGGGCTGTCTCTAATGGGAGTTCCTGTAATGCCACCAACACCAGTTATTACATCAGTAATATTTGCATTAGGGGTGCTTTTGGTGCCCATAGATGTGGTGCTCAAAGCATGGGTAGGGGCATCTGGAGGGTAAGTGGTGGTACTGACACTGGTCGGTGCCATTGGAGACATACTGTCTGGGTGGTGGTACCACCAGTGCCTGTAGGAAATGCCATGGGCACAATCTCAGTGGTAATTTGTTCAGAAGTCACATCTGAAACCAGAGCAATTGTGGTGATGCCTGTAGTTGTTTCTGTGCTTCCAGCAGTGGTAGTACCATTTAAAATATTTGTAGTAACCGAATGCATGGTAGTAGTATCAATGTCAGCATTTGTAAGAGCAGGAATAGTTGTAACTAGAACAGTGTTATTAGTGCTAGTAGCATTAGTACTTGCTGGGGAAAGAGCGGTATCAATACCGGTAGTACCAATGGTAGTATTAGTACTACTTGTTGGCAAAGAGTGGTTGGAATAGGAGATGTAACATAAGGGATAACAGTAGTAGTATTTTCAGAAGAGAGTGTAGTAGTGTTAGGAAGAGTAGTACTCCTTCTCAATTCAATAGAACTTGGGAAAAAAGTAGTTGCTCCAAAAGGGCAGTTCCAGTGCTGGCAGTAGTAATATTTGTAGGGAAAGGAAGAGTAACATTGGGAACAGCAGTATTAGTTGTCACTTCAAGAGTGCTTGTGGGGAGAGAAGTGGTTGTGCTAGCTTAAGCAGTAATAGTACCAGAAGTAGTAGTATTTGTAGGGAAAGAAATAGTGGTGTTAGAAATAGTAGTAGTAGTTATACCTTCAGGAGTACCTACTTGGACAGAAGTGGCTGTGGTAGGAGTATCAGTACTAGTTGTTAGGGGTAGTATAATTTGTAGAGAAAGGAGTAGTGATGTTAGAAATAGTAGTACCAGTTGTAACTTCAGGAGTAGTTAATGGGAAAGAAGTGGCTGTGGTAGGAAAGTCAGTACTAGTGTTATCGGTGGTAGAATTTGTAGAGAAAGGAGTAGAGGTGTTGGAAATAGTAGTGGCAGTTGTAACTTCAGGAGTAGTTAATGGGAAAGAAGTGGCTGTGGTAGGAAAGTCAGTACTAGTGTTATCGGTGGTAGAATTTGTAGAGAAAGGAGTAGTGATGTTAGAAATAGTAGTACCAGTTGTAACTTCAGTAGTTAATGGGAAAGAAGTGGCTGTGGTAGGAGTATCAGTACTAGTGTTAGCAGTGGTAGAATTTGTAGGGAAAGGAGTAGTGGTGTTAGAAATAGTAGTGGCAGTTGTAACTTCAGGAGTAGTTATAGGGAAAGAAGTGGCTGTGGCAGGAAAGTCAGTACTAGTGTTAGTGGTGGTAGAATTTGTAGAGAAAGGAGTAGTGGTGTTAGAAATAGTAGTACCAGTTGTAACTTCAGGAGTAGTTAATGGGAAAGAAGTGGCTGTGGTAGGAGTATCAGTACTAGTGTTAGTGGTGGTAGAATTTGTAGAGAAAGGAGTAGTGATGTTAGAAATAGTAGTGGCAGTTGTAACTTCAGGAGTAGTTATAGGGAAAGAAGTGGTTGTGGTAGGAAAGTCAGTACTAGTGTTAGCGGTGGTAGTTGAATTTGTAGAGAAAGGAGTAGTGGTGTTGGAAATAGTAGTACCAGTTGTAACTTCAGGAGTAGTTAATGGGAAAGAAGTGGCTGTGGTAGGAAAGTCAGTACTAGTGTTATCGGTGGTAGAATTTGTAGAGAAAGGAGTAGTGATGTTAGAAATAGTAGTACCAGTTGTAACTTCAGGAGTAGTTATAGGGAAAGAAGTGGTTGTGGTAGGAAAGTCAGTACTAGTGTTAGCGGTGGTAGTTGAATTTGTAGAGAAAGGAGTAGTGGTGTTGGAAATAGTAGTGGCAGTTGTAACTTCAGGAGTAGTTATAGGGAAAGAAGTGGCTGTGGTAGGAAAGTCAGTACTAGTGTTATCGGTGGTAGAATTTGTAGAGAAAGGAGTAGTGGTGTTAGAAATAGTAGTACCAGTTGTAACTTCAGGAGTAGTTATAGGGAAAGAAGTGGCTGTGGCAGGAAAGTCAGTACTAGTGTTATCGGTGGTAGAATTTGTAGAGAAAGGAGTAGTGATGTTAGAAATAGTAGTAGCAGTTGTAACTTCAGGAGTAGTTAATGGGAAAGAAGTGGCTGTGGTAGGAAAGTCAGTACTAGTGTTAGCGGTGGTAGTTGAATTTGTAGAGAAAGGAGTAGTGGTGTTGGAAATAGTAGTACCAGTTGTAACTTCAGGAGTAGTTATAGGGAAAGAAGTGGCTGTGGCAGGAAAGTCAGTACTAGTGTTAGTGGTGGTAGAATTTGTAGAGAAAGGAGTAGTGGCGTTGGAAATAGTAGTACCAGTTGTAACTTCAGGAGTAGTTAATGGGAAAGAAGTGGCTGTGGTAGGAAAGTCAGTACTAGTGTTATCGGTGGTAGAATTTGTAGGGAAAGGAGTAGTGGTGTTGGAAATAGTAGTGGCAGTTGTAACTTCAGGAGTAGTTATAGGGAAAGAAGTGGCTGTGGCAGGAAAGTCAGTACTAATGTTAGTGGTAGTTGAATTTGTAGGGAAATGAGTAGTGGTGTTAGAAATAGTAGTACCAGTTGTAACTTCAGGAGTAGTTATAGGGAAAGAAGTGGTTGTGGTAGGAAAGTCAGTACTAGTGTTAGTGGTGGTAGAATTTGCAGAGAAAGGAGTAGTGGTGTTGGAAACAGTAGTACCAGTTGTAACTTCAGGAGTAGTTAATGGGAAAGAAGTGGCTGTGGTAGGAAAGTCAGTACTAGTGTTATCGGTGGTAAAATTTGTAGGGAAAGGAGTAGTGGTGTTGGAAATAGTAGTGGCAGTTGTAACTTCAGGAGTAGTTATAGGGAAAGAAGTGGCTGTGGTAGGAAAGTCAGTACTAGTGTTATCAGTGGTAGAATTTGTAGAGAAAGGAGTAGTGATGTTAGAAATAGTAGTACCAGTTGTAACTTCAGGAGTAGTTAATGGGAAAGAAGTGGCTGTGGTAGGAAAGTCAGTACTAGTGTTAGCGGTGGTAGCTGAATTTGTAGAGAAAGGAGTAGTGGTGTTGGAAATAGTAGTGGCAGTTGTAACTTCAGGAGTAGTTATAGGGAAAGAAGTGGCTGTGGTAGGAAAGTCAGTACTAGTGTTAGCGGTGGTAGTTGAATTTGTAGAGAAAGGAGTAGTGATGTTAGAAATAGTAGTGGCAGTTGTAACTTCAGGAGTAGTTATAGGGAAAGAAGTGGCTGTGGTAGGAAAGTCAGTACTAGTGTTAGCGGTGGTAGCTGAATTTGTAGAGAAAGGAGTAGTGGTGTTGGAAATAGTAGTGGCAGTTGTAACTTCAGGAGTACTTAATGGAAAAGAAGTGGTTGGGATAGGAACCCCCGTACTAGTGCTTGAGGCCATAGTATTTGTAGGGAAGGAAGTCGTAGTTTCAGAGACAGTAGTATCTGATATAAATTCTATTGTACTTGTTGGGAAAGAAATGGTTGTACTAAGCAGGGCAGTAGTGGGAGTTGCAGTAGAGAAACTAGTGACAATAGTCCCAGAAGTGGTAGCCTCAGTAGTAAATGTAGAATGTAGAGTGGTGGGCAAGATGGTACTTGTCCTCGGTGTAGTAGAAACTATGGGACCACCATGAATCCAAGTGACCTCAGTTAAGTTTTCCAGGCTGATAATCTTGTCACCCAATTGAATATTTAGTATCTGCCAGAAAACAAGAAATAACATTAATATTTTAGATCTTCTTAAGTATCACATTTAACAACAACCATCAAAACAATGTGTCATTTTATTTCCCGGAGAGTAATAAAAGGTTTGCTCTTACATCACACTGATTCAGACAGTTTAACATGGAGAGATGTGCTGGGAATGGTTCTTACCATGTACTTCCCTTAGTTAGAACCGCACACCCCCAAGTAATCGAGCCTTTGATGAACTCAACGATCATAAAGATCTCTGGGTTTTGCCTCCCAATATTAACCTTCCTGGAGACAGGCTGGTTTCTTGTTTCCACCAACCTCAACCGCTAGTGTACTGCCTGGCACAAAATAGGGTAGTGTGAGCCCTGTTATTTGGGTTTCATTTCTTTTTTATTATGCGTCTCTGACTTGAGCTTCATTTGCCAGATCTGCCCATTCCAAAGAGACATCCACCACAAGCCCACTGAGGCTCCATTGTTTTCCAGATCTCAGTTAATTTTAATACCTAACCTTTGGGTCACTTGTTTGTTTTCTCTTCCCAGGCTGGAAATTCACCATGTTATTGATTATTTTAAAAACATTTATTAATTTTAAGAGAGATGGGGGGAGAGAGAGAAACATCGGTTGGTTACCACCCATACACACCCAACCTGGGATGGAGCCTGCAACCTAGGTAGGTGCCCTGACTGGGAATTGAACCCCCAACATTCTGGTGTACAGGGAAAACACTCCAACCAAGCCACATTGGTCAGGGCAAAATTCGCCCTGTTTTAAATTCACCAGTAAAGAGTGATCCCTGGAAGCACCAGATCTCCCCATCCTCCCCCTCAAAAATGCTGAGCCCTAGGCCCATGCCCAGGCTCTCTCTCTCTGCCCAGGACCCCCTTCTGTGGCCCTGGGGCTGTGTGGTTTCCAGGACTTGTTATACGCCTGTATCTTTCCTGATGGTTATCACTGAAGTAGGTCTTGCATTCATATTAAGAACCACAAGAGCTAGTCTGGCCACAACCTTGGTTACTGACAGGCTGACACCAGCACAAAACCAATAGGTATGATATGCTGCAAACTTTTCCAAAAGGAAGGTGTTCAAAGATCTTCTGTTATCAGTCTTAAGTAGAAACATTCACTTATAAAGCATGGTTTTGAACTCAACAGTTCAAGAAAAATGTTTTGAAGTGGAGAACTACAAGAAACTAGACAGAGAATCTGCTTGAACTTCAGAGCGTCATTTCCCAAAATTCAAATACCAACATGGCAACTTTTTTACCTTTTAGAAAACAGTAACTATTCTCATCCATTTTCACTTTTCTAACCCACCCTCTCTGAGTTACTGAATCTGTATTTATGGAAGATCTAGTAGCATTCAAAAGCGGGACACTCTTCTGTCTTTTGTTACTCTTCGTAACTCTGCTTTTAATTTGTCTTCCAACTAGTTGGCTGTGGTTTCTAAAGCATCCTTTATGAGAGGGTTTAGCAGGGTCTGTTATGCAGGTCACCAAACCATTGGTCTCATATCACAGGTGGGACACAGTCATCATCTGGATCACCATAGTTCACTGCCAGTTTTCACCAACCCAGAAGACCGATTTGTCCCCCGCCCTTTTACCTCGGTGTGGACAGCTACTTAACTCGATTTACTTTTAAAAGATTACCCTTTTCTTTGTCTGAGCCTCTGCCACAGCCATAAGTTTTGTTATGCCTGGGAGACCAACCTCAACAAAGAGCAGAGTTTCTTTGGGACACACATGGAATGGATTTCAGGAGACTGTTGGCCTTTGCTTCCTGGGGAGAGCCACTGGTATTTTATATTTTACAATATAATTCAACACACACAACTTTTCAGGAACATATCGATTATACACACCTATAACCTCTCAAATATAAATGATAATAATAATGGTGATAACTTTGCAAGGTAACAAAATTAATGTAGGCTATAACAACATTATTCTGAGACTTACCTGTTGGTAAGGGTCACTGATGAAATTCGTCACCATGGATTGCTGGTTGTCATAGGTGACACGAACCTGTGTCACATAAGTAGGATGGACCCCCCAGATTGTAATATTTCCAACTTTCAGTGGATTTGAGTTACTCAAATACTTATTGTGTATGGTCTGGATTCTCAATGTGTTCTATAAAGAATGCATAAAGGTAAAAAAAATACACATTATATCTGTTGATCAACTATATTCCACATTAACATATTAAGAAACCTCAGATTACTATTGCACAGGTTTGCTATTTATGTTTAATTAAGCACTTTCATGAACACATACTTTCTGAGTACCAGCAACAATAAATTTGCTGATACCAAATATTAACGTAGCGATCATATAGGATAATGCAGCTCTAAGAATTTCTCTAAAGCCTGGGTACCATTTTTAAACAAAATCTATAGTAATAGTAGTCCAAATGGAATAATCAGATCTGAAAACTAGTTTAAGCACAGAACAGGGGGAGTTAGCCTAGAGGGTATAATTCTAAGAGGAAGGGACAGACAGGATATATGGTAGACATCATCGAATGCCTGAAGCACTATTATATATAAAATACTCATTTCCCCTCAGCATTAGATAAATTACAAGTTTCTTTTTATAGAGTGATGGCATATTGGATAACTATCAAAAGAAGGGCTGTTTTCTTCCTTATTTTAACATCAACATAACTGATTTATAAAAGCAGGGAGGTCTTCCCATGAAGACGTGGGAAATTACATTTACACAGTTCATGGATAATGTTTAATCTGTTGCTAACAGAAAGAGGATTTCTAAAATCCCACTTAAAAAGTCTTACCTGAGCTGCTATGAAATCTGCCAAGAAATAGTTTCCATTTTCATAGGTATCTGCAAGCAAGAAACAAAATAAGCAACTACTCATTCCTTCAACCATAGCAGATAACCTCACATAGAGTCCAAAAGTGTCTGAATGGGATCCTTTATTCCTGGTCAGGATGATCCTGACTTCTCTAGGGAGCACAGACGAGAGGACTTGAGGGAATACCCACTCCAGGTCAGTGCGGGGAGGTACATGTGGAAGAGGGTGTTTGAGGGTAAGGGTCAGATGATTGCAAAGACCTGAGAATCTGGGTTGAACTAAGGTTTCCTATCACTGGTGAAAAAGTGTGAAGGCTACTGATTTTTTTTTTCTGTGACAACACAGCAAGCACATGGCCATGAGAATTCACATGGCTGTGATGAGACAGGCTCAGTGCAGAGAAGAGCAGCTAGGGATTCAGGCTTTCAGGTCAGACTGACATTCAAATCCTCACCCTTGTACTTGGTAGTTGTGCAAACTCAGGCATGTTTCTTAACATTTTATCATCCAGAAAACAGAGATTTAAAAAAACAGGACTAGTTCTTTAAAAAAATGGGCAATAAGGTCCATACCATGCCCTTGTGCACAGTACGTGCTCAAAATGTGTGGTTCACTATCACCACCAAAGTCACCATCGTCTTCATCTTTATTATTCTCTCCCTACTGCTAACTTCCTTCCACAGTGCCCTACATCCCAAGCCTCCTCACCTCCCCAGGACGTACTCCGTCAGCTCTTTCCCATCCTTACCTATTCCTCCAAGCTCCAATTATACTCCAGAGCATTCCATTCTGACAAACCCCTGACTTTTTTCTCTTTGTCTCAAGCTACCATATCTCCTATCTACTGCCATAGGTCTCAAAAAAAAAGTAACCTCTGCTCATTATGTCTGCGAACTCAAGTCATAATTCAATTCTCCCATCTTCTCTACTAAAGCTCCTGTGCCTTTTTTTTTTTTTTTTGCTGAGTTGGATCCTTTCAAAGCCTCCAATAATGTGGTATGTTAAGTCTTAATACTCATGAGGCTTCTAGACCTCCTATTTTCTACAAGTCCATTTCACTTCATGTTCTTGTCTTGACCCTTGTCGTCATCCCACCTCTTACCCCCTAAGCCAACAAATACACTTCTTCATCTTCTAAATCACCTCCCCTTTTGTGGAAACAATCAGAAAGGGCTGTTTTAAAATTTAGTCTTGGCTAGAAAATGAAACCTCAGCAAATATTATAGCCTATTTTAGCAGTTTTAAAGAACGTTTAAAGAATTAGCCCTGGGTGGTGTGGCTTAGTGGGTTGAACCCTGGCCTACAAACCAACAGGTCATCAGTCAATTTAATTGCAAGTCAGGGCACATGTCTGGGTGTGGGCCAGGTCCCCAGTAGGGGGTGCACAAGAGGCAACCACACATTGATGTTTCTCTCACCCCTCTTCTCTCTAAAAATAAAATCTTTGTTTTAAAAAAAGAACATTTAAAGAATGAGATTCTGTTAACATAGGTGATTTAAGATCTTTAAACTAGCTATGAAATCTCCTTATGTAAGTAAGGAAAAGCTTAACAGTTACAAACCTGTTAATAAACACTTTCTATTAAATTTATACTTATATTGTATCTTGTTACTTTAAATTTGAATGTATAAGTCTGTTTGGTGAAGCAGAGAGCTTCTCTACAGAAATTAAAAAGCTTAAAACTTTCAGGGACTATTGATGTTTAACCTTGAGACTAAAACCTATTCCTTGTAGAAACCTAAAATTTTATAGAAAATTGGTTTTTCTCTTAAATTTTTGAAATACAGGGTCCAGCAAAAGTAATGCCTGCTTGAGTATGGTTGGTAGAGTCATAATCTGGGTGTAATAATTTAGTTTTAATTTGAGCATTTCACGTAAAATGTCATATGGTGTGCTTGAGTATAATATTGTTATGTTACAGAATTATATGCTTATGATTTTGTAATAAAAATTCTGTCATAAAAAAGGGGCATTATTTTTTGCTGGACCCAATATCTTGTCCATAGGGGGCTGATTTTACACCCTAACTGTGGGGTTATTAACTCATGATGCCATCAATCACTAGTCCTGATCAGGCCAAGCTGAAAAAAAGACTCTAGATGCCCATAAAACACTGGTTTCAGTGAGCAGTGACTTTGCTGGTGAAACACTTGGCAAAATCTAGAGACACATTTGGTTGTTGCAACTTGGGGTTGAAGGGAATACTTTGGCATCTAGTAGGTAGAGGGTGGGGGTGCTGCTAGACATCTTGTAAGTAACAGCCCAGCCATTGCCAGCAACAATGAACGTCCATACTATTGAGACTGAGAACACCTGACTTGAAAAAGCCATGTCTTTGAAAAAGGAAAAAGAAGAAAGTTGGAGGACTCTTTCTTCCTGGTTCCAAAACTTACTTCAAAGTAACTGTACTCAAGACAGTGTGGTACTGGCATACACACACACACACACACACACACACACACACAATCTTTTATATATAATAATTATATAATATATGCATATATATTCTTTTAAATGTGAATGTTTTATCTGTGTCTTCAACTGTGCAAATATACCTTCACACTTAAAATCACTTGATCTTTAACAAGGGTACCAAAAGAAAAAATGATTCAATGGTGAAGAAATAATCTTTTCACAAAAAGACTGGGACAACTGGATATCCATGTGCAGAGACCAAAGTTGGACCCCCTAACTCACACCATATACAAAAACTCACACAAACTGGCTCAAAGACCTAAACATAAGAGCTTCAACTATAAAACCCTTAGGGGAAAAAGGGTAAATCTTTGTGACCTTAGAGTTGGCAACTGTACACAAAAAGTACCAATGACAAAAGAAAAATAATCAATTTGACCTCATCAAATTGAAGAACTTTTATGTTCCAAACGGACACTTAATAAAGTGAAAAGACAATACACCGGATGGGAGAAAATATTTGCAAATCATAAATCTGATGAAGGACTTACCATCTACCTAGAATATAAAGAACACTTACATTTCAATAATAAAAAGGCAGCCTAATTCAAAAATTGACACAGGCTATGATATACATTTCTCCAAAGAAGATATATAAATGGCCAGTAATTACATGAGAAGATGTTCAATGCCATTAGTTTCCAGGGAAATGCAATTCAATTGGAACCACAATGTGATACTACTTCACACCCACTAGGATGACTATTCTCAAAAAGACAGAAATAACAAGTCTTGAAAAGGATGCAGAGAATCCGGACCCCCTCATACATTGCTGGTGGAATGTAAAATGGTGCAGCCCCTTTGTAAAGGAACCCGGGAGTTCCCCAAAAAGTTAAACATAGAGACACCGGTTGAAACTTGAATACATTATGTTAAGTGAAAGAAGCCATAAAAGACCATAGCTTTGCATTTACATGACTCCACATGATTCCATTTATATGAAATCTGCAGCATATATAAGTATGTAGTGACAGAAAGCAGGTTAGTTAATGCCTAGGGCCGCATGCTGTTCCTGGGGTTGGAGAGAATAGTGGGTGGGGGTGGGGGCTAGAAGGGTGATATCTGAAAGGTACAGGGCTTATTTTGGGAGTGAAGAAACTGTTCTAAAATCGATTGCATAATAGTTAAACAACTTGGCACATAGACTAAAACCATGAATTGTACACTTTAAATGATTGAATTACTTGGTGTGGGAATTATATCTCAATAATGCTATTATTAAAAAAATTTAAATCAGGACCAAGAACTAAAACAAAAAGAAGAGATTTCTTTTTCATAAAAAATATAGTCCCCCCCCCCCGAATTTCTACTGATTCACCTTTACAATCCAGTGTATGCTTTTTATGTGTCATCATGCTCCCAGGTCTACGGTCCCGGGTCTACTGCTCTGCTCCTCACCAGGGTTTCAGTCAATCATCACACCCATGTGTCCAAACTCATCTGTCTCTCTCGACCCCACACGCATCTCAGACTCCAAGTGTGCCAAGCTGACGTCATATTTCATTCTTCCCTAAACTGGCTGTATTGGCCACATTTTATACCATGATGATGGAATTATTGGGTTGACCAAAAACTCTGTCTAGTTTTTTTTCTGTAAAATAAAAGGCACATTTTTTATTTTCACCAAGAACTTCATGGATTTGGATATTTTGAGTATGTCGGCTCTCTCTCACTATTGGCTTCAGTGGATAGAGGCCAGAGGTGCTGCTAACCATCTTCCAATGCATCAGACAGCTCCACCGCAAAGAATTTTTTGGCCAAAATGTCGACAGTACCAAGAAACTTCGCAAACCACTTTTGACATGTTTGATCAGTCACAGCACCTTCTCCATACACAGCACAAAGCTTTTTTTTGCATTTCTGTTGTGTTTTCACCTTTCTTGAAATGATACACTGAAATATACAGTGATAATACACTGAAAATGTTGCATATTTTCTTCCATCTTCAATATTAAAATGGCTGCGCAAAAATCCACCAGTTTTGATAAGTATATTTTAATGCACGCTGATATGACAGCTGTCACAATACAATCTAACAAAATGGTTTTTCTGAATGAAATTAAAGACAACTAAGAACTACTTGAGCCATCATATGGAAAAAAATGTAATGGAATTTTTGGCCAACCCAGTACTTCCTGCCTTGTCACCCACATGTATTCTTGGCATAACCTGACAACACGAATCATCTGGAGTCACCATGGCAAGTGTGTCTCTGAAGTGACAGAGTGTTGAACACCTCATCGTGGACACTAACTCTTTTTCCTGTGAATTCCTGCTCACCAAACAAATCCTTGATGAAAATGTCATCTTTAACTGAAGGAGAAATATGTACTTCCCAGTAGATGAGAGTATTCTAGCCCATTCATAAACACTGCTGTTACATTTAAAAACTGGCATTGTGGCACAGTTCTCTCTCACAGGCTTCGGACCTGCCACTCCCATGAAACCTGGATCTCCTTTCTCTGACTTTGGAACTTTTTGCTGTAATATTAACCCCAGTGATTTAAGTGTAAAATATCTCACCTTAACAGCTTACAGTGGAGGTTTATTTATCTTGCATGATAATGATACTTTTTATCAGTATTCATGGGCCAGAAATCCTGTGTATATATTAAAACATGTTATCTGTCTATGAAGCCTCCATGTTTATAAAAAGATTTCATCACCTTGATCATCATGATGGCTGAACAACTATATACATTTGCCAAAGCTTATTAAACTATACATTTAAAATGGATATGTTTAACTTATGAAATATAACTCAGTAAAGTTGATTTTTTTAAAAAAATAGTAATTTTACTTCTAGGAATCTATTCTATGGAAATAATCTGAAATACAAATAAAGGCTAATACTCAAGCATGTTATTTACAAAAATGTAAAGTGAAAGTATCCTGTATCCTGTACAGAAAATAATTAGAGACAGATAAATTATGGCGTAATCTCTCAGTGGAATATGCTAATTATAGTGGTGTAGGAAACCTTTAGAGATACTAGTGAAAAATAAGCTATAATTTTGGAACATGTGACATATTACAAGATTAGGTAATAAGTATTGGAACTAAGAACTGGCAATCCTCATAAGTACTGGAAAATGGATTGGTTGGTTAACAGTGCATCAGTATACCCATGGGACTGTCTCGGGATGAGGATGTTTTCATCACAGTGACAAACACCAATTATCTAGAGTAGAACTATCAGGGCCCCAGACTGAGAAAAGGGAACATACATACTAATATGTCTTTGATAGAGTTATCCTTTTGACAACATATAATTCCCTGTTTCTGAGACACTGGGAAATTTTCTAAGCCCTGATTCATCTCCTGGGTGGGCCTACTTAGGAGGAAAAGGGTGGCTGGGGATAGACGGTTAGTCCAAAAACACAGCCAGGTCTGTGGACCACCAAGACTGAGTGAACTGTCAGCCTGATATTTGCAGCCACACTTTTTCTTTTTTAATCAGAGTGAGACCGTCATGCAGATAGTTCACCCCAGCTGAAGCCCTGACATCGGTTTGCAGAACCTGCAGAGCTGGGGATCACATACTCTTCCATGATAATTACAGTGCAATACCAAAATGAGCAGGCAAAGGGTGCAAAAACTCTCCCAACACCATCACTGTACTAACAGTAGCAGAAGTGAGATGGATTTTCAATTTATGCTGATTACATCCCAAACCTCAGGGGGGTGCAGTTTTTCTGAATGGCGTGTGGAGAACCTGGGACGCTCCGACTCACCAATGCTTTCTCCATCATCCCAGAACATCTGGCCTTCAGCTCCCCCAGTGTCATCCAGAGCAACAAGCAATCCCATCAATTTTTGTCGACTATGGGAAAAAAGAAAGTTATTTTTCTCTACGTAGTAAGTTGTAAGAATAAAAGAGAGCATCTGTTGATACTATTATCCATCCAGAACAACAAAATAAAAGTAATGGAGATAAAATGCTCATAAATTTCCAAAAACATGTAATATGAGATAAAATACAAGATAATTCAAAGGTAATAGAAAGAATATTTAAAGTTTAATGAAACATTTGGTAAAACTCTTTCAAAAACCAAATACACATCCTTTCCTTATAATACATATTATAAGTAATATGATAAGAATACTTCTCGTCGTATTACTTATAATACTTCTTTATAGGAAGAAGACACCTCTAAAACAAACAAACAGAAACCTTTCAGTAGCTTTCAGAACAGGGAATGTGCACTGGATAGCCACCACAAATCAAAGAGCTCATCAGTATGTTCCCAATTTTTAATAGTACAGATGGAGGTACGTGCTGCTGTGCCCCCCGAACTTTTGCCCCGCCCTCTGACACAGAGCTCCAGAGAAACCATCTCCCTGAGGCAGCCAGGATGAACTCGTCCTCCGCCAGGCCCCGCTCCAAGGGCGCTCACAGCATCCGAGGAGTGAACGGCCTGGGACCGGGGTTACTTATGCACAGAGCCCACGCCTAGGGTGGGCGGCCCTCGAGAATCTGCCGCGTGAAGCACCGTGCCTCTCTCACCTGGAGCGGGTGTTCATTCCTGCCTCTTGCCAAGGCAAGATGTAGCCCCCTCTGATGTGGAGGTTGATGTGGTCGAGGGGAGCCTGCAGGGTTCTCCACTCGCCCGTGGAAGCGTTGCCAGATCCCTAGGAGGGACAGAGAACATGGGCAAGAGTTGGTGGCAAGGGAAACAAGCGCACGCTTGTCCGTCCTCCCCAAGGGGGTATGTTGGGAAGTCAGCAAAACACTGCAGACCGAAAAAGAGAATCTCCGATTTTCAGCTTTGCCGAAAACTCTGGAAATCCGGTCTTCTCTCCTTATTCTCCAGAAAAGGTGGGGAATGGGGGGAGGACTCAGGGTGATATGGGAGCCAGATTCTACCCAGTGACGCTTTTCTGGATACTTTTATTTAAAGAAACCTTGCACCGCCAAGAGGTTAAAAGCTATTGCCTCATCATTAGCTTTGTGTCTAGAAATCAGGAGGGAAACTCCAGCCACCTCTCCAGCCTGCACGGACCAACCCAGCTCTTCACAAAACACTTCCCTTCCTTCTTACCGTGCTAAAGTCATACCAACGGGCTGGGGGGAAATAGGCTCGGACCTCAAACGTGCTCTGAAACAGAAAATCAACGGGTCCAGGTGAGTATCTCAACAACCCAGTTTTGAATTTAAAAAAGTCTCTGTAGCAGTCACATAAAAATGGGACATTTTTCTTAATGGTTTTTAAGAGTTTGGGAGGTTTTGTTGAAAAGATTCTGGGAACTTTCAAACACACAGAAAAATAAAAATTTTTTAAAAGGTCAACTTTATAAGGATGGAAGGTGACAAAACATTAAAACAAAAAAATCAGCCCTGGCCAGTGTGGCTCAGTTGGTTGGAGCATCGTCCCATCCACCTGAAGGTCATGGGTTCAATTCCCAGTCAGAACACATACGTAGGTTGCAGGTTTGATCCCTGGTCGGGGTGCATATGAAAGGCAACCAATCTGTTTTTCTCTCTTTACCTCCCTTTCCCTCTCTCTAAAATCAATAATCATGCCTTTGAACGAGGATTAAAAAATAATTAAAAAAAAACAAGAAATCCACTAAGGTTAAGTTTTCATTAACGGAGACCTTGAAAAAAGGAGAAAAAACATTTCCCAAAATATTCTAGAAATAGTGAGCTGGACCAGAGGGTCTTTGAAAGCCCTTCCTGTTCCTCGGGTCGCGGTTGGAGGGTATGTAGTCTGGGACGGAAAACTCACAGCTTGCAGCACCGGGCTGACCAAGACGGCAGGGCCCAGCAGGAACTGACTGTCTATGTTCCACGTTGTTTTGTCCTCGCTGAACCTTAAGTAGTAAGTACAGAGAGTCTGCTCAGACCTTAATGGCTGCGGCAGGGGGTTACGCTCAGGCCACACCCAGACCAGCTGCTAGCGAAACAGGCCGCACTCACTCGTGCAGAAGGGGGCGCACGACAGTGCTGCCCTCCGCGTGGGCCTTGTGCATCAGGCTGTACAGGTACGGCAGCAGGGTGTATCTGGTCTGCAGGACTCTTCTCGAGTACATCTCAAAGGTTGAATTCCAGGCCACGGGATCTTGTCTCTAAGGGGATAAAGGAGCACGGGAAAGAGCGCTCCTTTTTCACTTTGTCCTAGTGACGTCAGAGAAGTACCACAAGGCATGTACCCCTTAGGCGGACTCCACAACACTCCTCCCTTCATTTCTAGCCTGCCCTTCCCCGCCACTCACACCTTCTTACTAAACCCAAGCATCTTGCTTCCTCCTCTTTATCTCGGGCTCCTTCCTCCCCTGTTCAGGTTAGTCTTGACCCTGCCTATGTGCAGAGAGATGGGTCTCTGGGATGGACTGGAGCAAAATACATATTCACTCTCCTTAAGGGCAAAGGCAGCTTCTTCTATTTCAGCCCCATAGGGCAGGCATTATCAACAATTCCACCAAGAGATGAGAAAAAGTACATTCTTGAAAAATCATTGGTTATTATGGGTTTTTGAACTTGGTGGGTTTTCTTAAGAAATGGGGGGGTTCTGTTGATCTGCATGAGCTTTCTCCATAAATAATTATGGTCCTTCTTAACACCAAAAACAAAGTCGTGACTTGAGGACATGGGACACCCGCAGCGCCAGCTGCTGCCTCACCCTGGTCCCCACAGTGTTGTGGTTCCTGGAAAAGGGGTAGAAGGCCCCCAGCTGCATCCAGCGAGCGCACATCTCATATTCGGCATCTCCGAAGAACCCACAGATGTCTGCTCCTGTCTGAGAAGATGCAAAATTGGGGCATGAGGCGGGACTGGCGTACATTGCACACCCCCTAAAATCTGCCTGGGTAATTAGCGACGGCCCCAATAGGACTTACATACGGAATTCCAAAGAGGCTGAACTCCATCATGCCTGCAATGAAAAGATACAGCTGCGCTGGACTGAGCAGCCCTTAGGCAGGGCGGGTGTGCCCTGTCTCTTCTGTACCCCATTCGAAAGCCCCAGCCCAGTCGTGGTGAACAAATAAACAGATGGGTGTAAACGGAAACTCAGGTCCCTGGAGAACTCAGCACTTGCCCACAAGAACGACGATCAGGCATAAGCAATGCACAGGCCCCAAGATGACCACACACCGATGATAGATTTCTGCAGCTGGTCCCACGCGGCCGTGTTGTCCCCCAGCCAGTGTCCTCCCCAGCGGCCAGATGAGGGGAACGTGGAGCGGGTGATGACGACCCCTCTCTGTCCTGTCACCTCCTGCACAGCTCTGGTTGGAGGGACACAAGGAGGTGAATCAGAGGATGGACTGGACAGCCACGGAACTTCACTAAGGAGCAAAGCTTCAGCCCCGAGCGCGGGGCAGCAGTGGGGCTGAATTTCAGCCAGAGAGCCTCTTCCCTCAAGCACCTGCTATTCAAAAGTGGTGCTGAGAGTCCGAGGGAACTTCAGAGTCAGACAACCAGAGACAGAGCATCACCTAAGATGTGGATTTCCTTTTTGAAAAAAAATTTGAGTTAACTAGCTGCCCACATGATGGTAGGAGGAGGGGTGGAGAGGAGGGCCAATGCATTTATGGAGCGATTACTCTGTTCCAGGTATTATACTGGTGGTCACTTTCCTGTACAGGTCTCACTACCTCACAGGGAGGGTTTCCTTCACCTCCATGTGCTGTTCAGAAACAGGCTCAGAGACAGTGCGTAATTTGTCAAAAGGCACTTGAAGAGCAAGGAGACAGTTATGGGACTTAAATAAAACTACATATAACTATAGCTTTTTTGGGGGTGCAATATTCACTCTCCTATGAATCTCCTCAAAAAGCAGAGTCATGTTTGCACACAGAGACAAACATACAAAAAAGATGTTTAAATATTTCTTGATCAAAGGTGGGCCTTCTGCACCCAGCCTCAGTCAGAAAACAGGCAATTTGCATGAGAGAAAAATCAATGGAACCAAAGAGAGAGTCTATTAACAGATGCTAGGATATAATGCAGTCCAAATATTTGCTAAATAAAGCATCACAAATCAATAGACACAGATGAATTATTCAATAAACGATGTCTGGAAAAGAAGTCAGTGAGTGTAGTGGAGGCTAACCCACTTAGGTCACTGCCTGTATTTCACAGCAAACTAAATCCAAAAATGGATAGAGATTGGGTACACGCAAGCACACATGTGCACATGTATGAGTGACAGATAACACAGGCCTGCCACAGGCAGGGAGAAGAGTGAGGATGGATGTGAGTGACTCCAAGAACCCTGACACTGACAAGTTCAGAGCTTTAGAAATTGAACAGCCATGCAAAGAAGAAGAAAAAGAAAATCACGTATCCAGGAGAAGCTACTAAATCTTGGCAAGGCAGGCAGCTATGCAGGATTTTAACCTGGCCTATCTCCAACCTGACCCTCCCCTAGCTCATTGGCACCATAAGCCAGGAGCCCGGAAGCAAACAGAGAGGTATGACTGTTTTTGTAGCTCTTTTAAAAAGCCCCATCCCAAGAGCACAATAAAAATTTTATTTCTAACTTCCAGTCCTTTGGAAAATCTCTGTTCCCAGGGTGCTGTGGCCATTTGATTAAACTCAGAGCTCAACTCAGCAGAGAGGAAAAGTCCCCCCACCCACCCCCAGGGAATGACTAAAACAATAACCATTTTCTGGCAACATCACGGGCACTCAGGCTGTGGTTTCAGCTGGGGCGAACAAAAGCGTGGCTGGTAATTTAAAAGTCAGTCCTGGAGAATTGGAACCCATTAAAAAAAATAAAAAAGCTTTTCACAGCTAAAAGCTTTTTTGGAAAGAAAGGGTTTATTGAGCCCCAGGCTGGCCCAAAAGAGGAACAGGTCCTGGGGCATTTGCGGTCTAAACCACCCCCAGCAGGGCTGGGTGGGCCAGACCAGAGGTGCACCATCACCATGGAGAACTTGGAAAAGTTCCTACATATTTCTGAAAATCTAAGACTGCATACGCACAAGGCTTTGTGCATGCCTGAGAAAAAAACAGGGAAGGAGAAAGTTCCAGGGACTGACTTCCAGCTGCATTCAAAGGCCTGAGCAAACAGGCAGTAAAAGGCTGTCTCACAAACTGCTTGAAGCCGGAAGGTGAGCCTTCTCCTACCCACCCCCTTAGAAAGGGGTGAGAGACACAGATGCAAGGCATTTAACGGGGACTGGGAAGGCTAACCTGAGGCAGGCTTCTTCTTGACTCTAAGACCTGACCCTGACCTCCCTCCGAGAACATTTGCTTTAAGAAAATTTTAACTGCAAATTCTGGGTCCCCAGAATCTATCAAATGAGACAGCAAAGTTGCTAAACAAATAAGCAACCAATGAAAAAAACAAAAGCAGCAACAATAAAAACAACAAACCCTGTGGGGGCAGATTTTTATGCCAGACTTATTACAATATATTATTTAACATCATGCAAAAGGAACCCCATGGAAGTGTGCTATACACACAGGAAAAAAAAAAACAGTCATAGAAAATGTTGCTGAGAGACTTGGCAGACAGAGACTTTAAGTTACTTATTATATGTTCCAAGAGCCAAAGGGAAGCATATTAAATAATTAACAAAGTATGACAATGATTTCCCACTAAATAGAGGGTGGCCATAAAGGGACAGCACTTATTTGAAAAGGAATAAACAGACATCCTGGAGTTGAAAAACACAACTAAAATTACAGATTTCCTGGAGGGACTGAACTCAACATCAGATTTGAGCTAGATGAAGAAAGCATCAGCAAAACTGAAGATAGGTCAATAGATATGATCCATTCTAAATAACACAAAGAAGACAGAATGAAGAAAAGTAAGCAGAATTTCAGAGACCATCAAAGGTACCAATAACACACACACATAATTGGACCTTGGAAGGAGAAAAGGAAAAGGGGTAGAAAAAAATATTTCAAAAAAATACTGCCCAGAAATTTACACACTGAAAACTGTAAAATGTTACTGAAAGAAATGAAATGAGATCTAAAGAAATAGAAAGACATCCCATGTTCATGGATCAGAAGACAACATTGTTAAGATGGCTCCCCAAATAGTTCTACAGATTCAACACAGTCCCCACCCACCTCCCTATTGCTGTTTTGCAGAAATTGACAAGCTAATCTTAAATTTTATATAAAAGGTAAGGGGCAGCCCTGGCTGGTATGGCTCAGTGGATTGAGTGCCCACCTGCAAACCAAAGGGTCGCTGGTTCGATTCCCAGTCGGGGTACATGCCTGGGTTGTGGGCCATGTCTCCAGTAGGGGGTGTGCGAGAGGCAACCACACACTGATGTTTCTTTCCCTCTCTTTATCCCTGACTTCCCCTCTCTAAAAATAAATAAGTAAAATCTTTAAAAATATATAAGGAACCCAGAATAACTAAAACAATATTGAAAAGAAACACAAAAGGCCACATGTGGTGCGTTTCCGTGTATACAAAGAGTCCAGATTAAGCAATCTATATAGATAGAAACTAGATCAGCAGTTTCTGGGGCTCAGCAGGTGGAGACAAGGGTGGGGCATGACTACTGCTGGGTAGTTACTGCTATACAACTCTGTGGATATACTAAACACAGCAGAACTACTTAGCTTATTTTTTAATGAAGTTTATCTGATATAGAACATTGTGCAAATTACTGGTGCACAACATGTTGTTACATTTATATATTGTAGGAAGAATGCCATTGTAGCAATGACCAGTGCCGGCTCACTTTATACAGGTGACTTCAGCAACCTACTTGGTTGATACAACTCCGAGGTGGTGCGGTTGCCTGGGAAACCACTCCTGATAGTTTGACCTTCACCCATTAAACTCGCATCCCTCTATATATGACAAGACAAAAGTCACAAGGTAGAAAATGATCCTTACTGCAAGGGACTGAACACACTCACTCGTATGTGGGTCTGGTCTGGGACCACCCGTACAGGCTGTGCACGTCGTAGTGCTGCACCCGGGAGCCGTCGGGCAGGACCTGCTCGCTCTCCATGCACAGGGTCTTGCTGCTCAGACCGCTGTCCCTGGACTCCAAATCTGAGAGGAAATGCCGAGTTATGTTCTGAACAACCGGAACTGCCCATTCACTAGAAATTCCCGTCACCCTGGCATTGCTTATTTCAACCAATGACTCTGTTACCAGTAACAGCTCCAATTTTAATCATTACTTTTGTCTTAAAAAAAGGGAAAAATCAATGTTCTGTGACTTTATAACTAATGAAGGGTAAGGACAGGAGATGGAGCTGGTCAAGGCACCCTCCTGGTGTCATGACTGTGTCTCCCACTAGATGGCAATGTTCTCAAGGGAATAGATCTGCTTTCAATCAAGTTTGTATTGATGTTGCTAAATCGTTCTGGTGTGTCAGTACTTGCCTGATAAACAAATATTAAACCAAGGGAGGAAGAAGGAAAACAAGGAAGGAAAAAGGGAGGGAGGGAGGGAGGGAGGGAGGGAGAGAGGGAGGGAGGGAGGGAGGGAGGGAGGGAGGGAGGGAGGGGGAGGGGAGGGAAGCATAGCCGTGACCTAGACATTAAAAAACTTGATTTCCAGATTTCATCTCCCAAATTACTGGCATGGTGCTTTTAGGAAGGCGAGTCCCTTCCTTCCTCCCCCATGTTTATGTAAGGAGAGAGAGAGCTCAACTTTCTGAAAGGCCTTTGATCTTCAAGGCCTAGGATTCTCTGTTTCTGTTTGTACCGTAAGACAACCAGAGCCTACGTGAGTGTATGCAGGGCGGGGAGGGAGTTATTTACAGTTGTAGCCATCAGTTCATAGTTACCAATGTCGTCGGATGCACCCTACATTGCCTGGTGTCTTCCACACCACATCAAGTCATTACTTCCACACTTGATTAGTAATTTGCTTGCACTTATTCATGGTTATTCTATGTGGGCTTTTTAGCTCGTGTTTGAGAATGTTTTTCTCACTCTGCAATGAGGCTTCACTTCGACAACAAGGGGAAAACTCGCAAGGGTTTTTGAGCCAGGGAGGCCATTTAACGAAGTCATCACTGTACATACATGGCATATAAGGTGGTTTATTAAGAATTTCGTCGCGGCAGCCCCCGACAGATCCATCCACGAAGTTCGATGGCTCATTCATATCCTGAAATGAACCAGCAAAAAAGGTTCCGTGATGTCAGAGTCTGTATGGCCTTAGCTTGGGGGCACGCTGACCTCCTGGAGACAAAAGTGTCTTATTTAAGCTCTCCCCCCCCCCCCAGCTGCTTGATTCCCTGACCCGGTTTAATCTCAGGCACAGACCCGAATGGACCCTAAGAATGCGTGTTGGTTTAAGTAGCATGTTCAATTCCCAGTCGAGGTTCCAGTTTTCAGCTCCTGAGGACTGGCAGAAAGACTGAGATGAGGTTGGATCTAAGACCTAAGGAAATCTCCTCCTGATTCAACTCCCCCATCTGACCTCGCTCTTTTACAACCTTTTTATTGGTGGCCAGTGGTCACTATTCTCTCCCCCTACTTCTTCTCAGTCCAGTAGCTGGACTAATTTGGGCATCAGCACAGTCCAAACACGCGAGTAGCAGTGTCTCCCCCTCTGCCATCCTGAGAAGCTGTCGGAGACTCGGAAACAAATCTGGAAATCAGGGATCCTTGCAGGGGTTTATTTCTTAAATGCAGGCAGTAGCAATTCCTGCAGCAAGTGGTCTTTGCCTGCTTTACCAGAAGTTAACACATTGAGTATCGGGCTGTCTTAAATAGCACATACAAAAAGACAAAAGCAGGTATTTCAGAAACTGATGACTATTTCGAGTTATTCAGCTACAGTTTTGCTCCAGTGGAACCAATATCCTAAAGTGATCTCCATTCCTCAGAGCTCCCCATACCTCTTCGCCGTGTGCTTGGCCTGCCTGGCTTAGCCTGTGCCCTTTATTATGTGTCTCCTCGGTGTCCACGTCCTGAAAGTTAGTGGCCGGGAAGCCCCCAAGCACAGCCCGTGGGCTCAGACTTCTGTCTCTACATGAGTCACAGGCAGCTCAGTCCAGACCTGAGGGGCTCTTCAGAGCTGGCCTAGACCCTGCTCAGGGTTTTGGGCTGCTCAGCCCTGGGGAAGGAGACTGGGAAGTTGCTACACTTCCCAGCCCTAGAAATGCACAAACAGAAGAGCCTTTCGACACCTGTCCCAGGAAGAGACATCGCGGGAAGCCTGCTCTTTCGCCCAACTGACATGTGTAACAAATGTCTCAGGCGTCTCCACGAGTGAGCACTGTGATGAACATCTATTTTGTCCCAGATCTGGGCCTTCCTTGCCTCGAGTCCTGCCCCGTGTCACAGGATGGTCCCTCAGCTCACCTATTGCTGCCTTCTGGGTAGGTGTGGCCAGTGGGAGGCAGTGGCAAGAGATTGGAAGATGGGAGATTAGAGAAGCCAGGGTATCTGCTGCCTTTTTCTCTGGCAGCCTCTCCAGTGGTGGCTCGTCCCCCATGGGCCTCCGACTTCCTCCAGATAATATGTCCCTGCGACTCCCTCCATTTGTCCTGGTGGTCCCAGCAATTAATTCTGTGCTCGCACCCTCTCTTTCATTCCTAGCTCCCTGCTTCGCTAGTCTAGGAATCGCGTCTCCAGGTTTGCAGTGCTGGCGTTTCCAAAGACAAACCACTAAGAGTGCACTTACGATCCACAGTCCATCGAACTTCAAGCTCTTCGTAGGCTCTCGGGGGTTGGTGTAGAGCTCACTTATTTCCTTCTTCCACCAGGCAGCCGTGCTGTTCCGCAGGAAGTCGGGAAAGGCGACGGAGGCCCGGAACCTCTGTAAGAGCAACACAGGCCCTCACACGGGGTCTCAGCCAGTCCAGTGGAGTGCGGGACTGGAAGGGGCCTGAGCAGGTGCGGTGGGAGGCGCCACCCCCAGCAGGGGGAGCCCTAAGCCAGGCCTGCTGCTTCCACTGCACAGAGTCCACTGCAGGCTCGGAGTTCACTGCAGGCGCAGAGACCAGGGACGGCTGATTTTAATCTTATTTTCCAAGAAGGTTAGATAGTCTTGAGTCCTTTTTAAACATAGCATTCATTTTATAAATGAATGTTTTCGTTGTAAGAACTGGAAAATTAACTGTCTGCGCCTAAACTATGAGACTTAAGAGATTCCAGTACTGCTTTCTACCCGGGTCAAAGAAAGGAGACCAGTCGCCCCGCAGCAGAAGCCTTGGAAACTGTGCTTCGGAGTGGGTGGGGTGCTGGATGCCCGAGCTGAGGAGGCTGCTGGGGCTGAAATCGGAGACATTGCTCCTCCCAGCTGGATTCCATGCTGACAATTTACTGCCCCTCAGTGTGTTCACACCCTCTGCAGTGAAAATACTCCAGGCTTGGGTTCAGTATTTTTCGAGCAACATTAGATTCGAACAAAACAACCCATTAAAAGCACACCTGTAAAGGTATTTCATTTATGATTTCCTCCTACACATTTCCAGTTTACTTGCTTGTTGAGTTTTCCATTTGGGGATCTTTTTTTCTGCCAAGTAATTACTAGGCGACAAACACACTCATCTTAGAGCTGCTACTTAACCAAACAGCGGCATAAAACTCATGTGTATCTAAGGATTTAGAGCAATGGAGACAAAAAAAAAAAAAGAAGAAGAAATCTGTCTGTAACGATACCTTAACCTGTGTTTCATGGTCAAGGGATGTATCCACCTCCACGTTGGGCAAATCTGGCCAAACCTAGAGAAAAACAGGAAAAACGAACACCTTTCAAAGGCATTGCATACAGGCGGTGAGATGTTTCATATGTTACACTCTATTAACATGCATCTCCACAACAATCTCAGGGATCTTGGCCAGTAACTGAATTCTAAGGTCTGGATGAATGAAATTCTGTTAGGTGAAAATAAGTGGGGTTTCTTGACTCATTCCGTAGCTATCACAATTTCACTTTTGATCTTAATGATCAACTAAATCCATTTTAAATAAGTCCTCTGAACAAATCAAATCACCTTTCAAACAATTACTCAGTTCTCTGATGTGCTTGTCATGGACCTATAGCAAAATTCCCTTTTTAAATAAGAAATGTGAGTAAAGAAACAAGATCGTTCATGGGTTGTTCATTTACAACCCATGAACAAAGCCTCAACACTTTAAAGCAGCATCATGACTTACTGGGAAACCCAGTATATGTAGCATTTAAAAAATCCATATTATTGCCCTGGCTGGTATGGTTCAGTGGTTTGAGTGACAGCCTGCAAACCAAAAGGTCACTGGTTCAATTCCCAGTCAGGACACATGCCTGGGTTGCAGGCCAGGTCCCCAGTAAGGGGCATGTGAGAGGCAACCCCAAAATAATGTTTCCCTCTCTCCCTTCCCTTCTCTCTAAAAGTAAATAAATAAAATCTTTTAAACAATTAAAAAATCCATATTATCAATTAATTTAGGAGGATATTCACTATATACATGAATTAATTCATTCGAGAAACACTGATCAAGCACTTCTCTATGCCAGGCACTGTTCTATAGTCCGTATCTAAAGAAACAGACCTTATTTTTTAAGAGCTCAAAGACGGAACGTAAGTGCTGTGTTGTACATTGTCTTCTTTGTGGGCAACAGTAGAGAAAAGGGAGAAACAGACAATGAGGCATTGAATATGTCCCGACAAGAAATGTTTCAGTCGCTCTTGAGTGCATGTACTACTTGGGTACGCTGGGAGAAGGCAACAGGCCAAGGCACAGCGAGCACGGCACACACCAGAGCGGGAGAAAGTGTACAGTGTCATGACAGAGCAGAGTGTGAAGCCTGGCTAAAGGCCACTGTCACTCGGAGTGAGGAGGTTCACCTAAAACCCTGTCGTTCTACACCAAACGATAAGGATGAGGATGGGGGCCCGAAAAGGAATTAAAGGAGGTGAAAGAAGGAGGATAATACGTAAGAGTTAGTGATTTACTTAAATATGAAGGCTGACTAAGCATCATAAGCCAAAGATGAGTATGAATCTTAAGTGTGGGTGACTGGGAGACACAGATTTCAGGGCTGTTCTCGAAGGGATTCTTTATGTGTGTTAAATGACTCGCTGGCCTACGTGAGTGGTGAACACCATATTTCCAGGCAACAAAATGAAACTCACTGTTTTAGAGATGGGAGCTGTGACCTTGGTCTTATTAATGTCTATTAAGCTAATGAGCGTTGGACAGATTTCTACTCACTCATAGTTTATAAGTTACCCGATACACTTTACCAGGATTTATGAAGAGCATCTTTTCATCAGAACATTGTGATGCTGATTAATTATGGGCACCTCCTCCAAGTCCTCACCTTTCCCCAGACAATGTCACTGCTGTCTGGCCACTTGATGAACACGTCGCTTTCCTGGCCTCTGGAGAATGGGAGGTACTGGGTCTCATTGCCAGAAATGGCTGGATCCTGCAATAAATGGGTTCAACACAGAAAACATGAGGAAAGGATTTCCGAGGAAAATGCTCTCCAAAACTTTAACAATTCACCATCCAGAAAGAAATGGTGGACTTTCAACACAACACAAATGAACAAACAAAAAACTCAGCCCATGGATAATATGCCTCAGGTCCAATGAGCAGCTGAGAAGTAAAAGAATATATTGACGTCTCTCCATAAAATTCCCAGGGGGAAAAAGGGTGCCAGTTTTGGTAAACAAGTCCTGGAGATAAGCCAGGTGAAGAAGACAGTACCTTCAAACAGAGAAAGGCAACACCCTGTGTTGCAACAGCGTCACAGTGATGCCCCTTACGACAAGGGAACTTCTTCTATTCTGCGGTCAGACTTGTACATCTTCCCATTAACCCCATCCCTCCCCTGCCCAGTTCCTTTCTGTACGTATCCTATTTCACGATGGTCCCATAAATCATCGCTATGCAAAATGAGATTGTTAATGTTTATTTATTGGCTGTATCCCTCCAATAAAGTATAATCCCACTAAGAAAAAGGATATGGTCTTCTTCATTCATTTAGATTACACACACACACACACACACACACTCCTTTTAGAACAATGATTTTCAAAGACCCTGTGCTTAACAAATACTTGAATGAATGAATGAATGAACAAACAGAAGTCAGCAACTAATGCTTTAATGTATGAAAGCTAGAAGGGAGGACCATTCCCGGGTAACTACTTCTGCCTTTGACTTCCAGTGTAAATAATAAGTCAGTCTTCTGGATCTCCACTAGGTTGTTTGTGAGTTTCATTAAGGAGACGTAAGTCCCCTGAGCCTTACCACAGCTGGGTGATGGCAAAAGGTGGGTTTTTGAAACCCCTTGGGTAAAGATGAGACTAGCTACCTTTGGTGTTTTTAGCCCACAGTTCTAGCTCTACCAAGAGTAAGAAGAACTTGGTCATGAAAAATAAAGATTGTAAGTATTATTTTCTTAAAAGCCCTTTTTGTTTGTCTCCTTTGTTTATTTGCATTTTTCAAACTTAAAAAAATAATTATAGATCAACAGGTAAATGTCCTATGCTCTTCACCTCATCTCTAAAAATGGAACTATTTTTAAACCATGGATACAGAAACAGAAAACAAGGCCACATCTTCGCAAGCACCTACCAGAATGAGGATGAACCTCATGCCGTTTTGCTTCATTCGCTCCATCAGGAGACTGAGGTTTTGAAAGCTGCTGCTGAGGGTGAAGTCCAGCTTCCGGTCCATGTAATCTATGTCTACATGTTGAACATCCTACAGGAAGGGGCAAGCAAGGTGTTGGGGGTCCTGCAGTGGTATCCCTCGGGGCACCCAGCTGCTCTGCTGGGCTCCCTCTCTGCTGCTTGCGGACCCCAGCCCAGCGCCCTCCGAATTTACCCCATGACTTTACCAGGGGGGCTTTCAATATGGCTGATTACAATGGCTTCCTGAGTCCTGCACACAGATCGCCCGTTCCCATTCCTTCTCCGTTTGCCCCTCTTCCTCAAGTAGGACTCTCCCCCCTTTCCTTCCCTCAATTCATGTCTTTTCCATTCTTCAAATCTCAAATGTAGTGAGCCTTCCAAAAAAAAAGGGGGCTAGTTAAATGTCCACAGAAATCAGGACTCTGCTGAAAAGCAGAAAAGGTTGTGTATCTGTTTTCTCTTTTCCCCTCCACCACACTTGACTGGATTTATTCACATTTAAGAACTGCATTACTTTATAGCACCCTAAAGTAGACTAACAGTATACTTTTCCCACCATCCCCATTTGCCTGGATGGTCTCTGAAAGGGGAACCTTGCCTTCCCTTTTCTCAACACAGCACAAACCAACCTATGTTTCTGCAAATGAAAGGTACCCGGTTCAGGATTGTTGAATGATGGCTAAAGTGGTTAACACCATATTTTGCCATGTACTATGCACACTTTTTGCCCAAATTTTTTAGGGAAAAATAAGGATGCACATTTTACATGGGTATAATAACCCTGTGTATAATGTGCACAAAAGCATGGGTATACATCATACACAGCAACATATGGTATCAGTTGAAGTACGAGATAAACCTTTTCTTTAGCCTGAAGGTTATAATCACCTGTATGGTCTTATGACTTTAACTCAAACTTGTTTGAGGGAGCAGAGACTTGGGCATAAGCCAAAGCTTAGAAAAGAATGAAACAACGTATATTATTAACATTGGTTGCCTTGGTGAGAGAGACCTATGGATTTCTTTCCTCTTTTAATTTGCCTATCTTTTTAAATTGATATTTAATAAGTATCTTGTATAGTAGTATATAAAAAGGAGAAAAACAATAAACCCGAGTGAATGTTTCAAGCTATCTTTGGTGAGAATATTGGAACACTTTATTCTCCTCTTCTAAGCACTGACTGCCCTCCAGATCTCAGGAGGAAAGTTAAAAGCAGAGAGAGAATGTGGGATGAAAATTCGATCATTATAAGAGATGAAAGAATGTGCCATTTATGCACTTCTGCTTGTCAACAGTGACTGACTGTACTTCTCAGGGCTTATCTAGTGGCCAGGTAGTCATTGTAGGATTTACACACATGAGTATTTGCATTTAAGTCAGAGTGAAGGCTTGATTTTAACTATATTCTTTCATATTGTCACTTTATACCCATCCTCTTCAAAACTAGTCACAGTATAGTCTAAAATTGTCAAAATATTGACATGATTCCTACTTAGAAGTCCCCAAAGTCATGGCTTAAGACCACCCATGGCTTCTGTAGGATATTTCTGGCAAGAGGCAGTAAGTAACAATATCCTCCATTAACTTCTGGAGGATTTCTGCCCTTCAATTTTGAACCCTTGACTTAAAAGGGTGGCATGAAATAAGTCTAAAAAGCAATGTTTCCACAGAGGCCATGCTCCACAGCTACATTTTCTTTGTGCCTAGGTAGTCATCAGTGATTTCTATGAAGATATTTTCAATCTATAGTAAGCCACAGATTCCCTTAACTAATTCAACCACAGGCTGGGGGAGGGCTTCATACATAGGGAATCTGGGCCTCCATCATCGCATCATACAAGTTGGAGATTTCAGTATCACTCTGGTATCCATAGCGACTCAGCTGGAATCCCAAGGCCCAGTACGGAATCATTGTTGGCCGACCAATCAACTAGAATAAAAAAGAAAAACAGATGTAGGTAGGTTTCTTAGGGAAAGAAAGATGGTTGGCTTATGCTTAAAGGACCTTGAGCAAGTCTGCTGAGTATTGTCTTATTTAAGAGACTACATTCAAGGAAAATAAGAAAGTCAAATAAATGTGATACAACCATGGAGAAGCAGAATGATGGAAAACCTCCCTGTATTTTAAAGCTTCCGCTCTAGAAAACCTGAGAATTCAGGAGTAATTGCTTATTTTTAGCGAATAATTAAGAGACAAATGGGATATAAACACGCTTTTACAGGCCCTTAGGGTTTTTACTAAAGCCCTGCTCTCAGAAAAGACAGTGATAATGTAGTAGGGACACCCAAAATTGGCCTTTCTCAGTACTACGAATATGGCAACACCCAATAAGCATTGGATGGTGTGTAAATGAATAGGATGACTTCTGACCTCCGTGTATTGCTGGGCTACAAGCTCAGGGGTTGGCCCCAAAACCACATAAAAGTCCAAAATCCCTCCCGTGGTGCGGTATGTCAGGGCAGGAGTGGGCTGGACTGTCACATCTGTTAAAAAACAACAACAACAAAAGGTGAGGAGCATCCTTGGCACTATAAATTACCCAGGTAGGAAATCTGCCCTAACATTTACTATTTTCTACTCTCTACCTTTCATGCCCAGCTCCTCTACAAAGTTCTCTCCCATGCAGTGGGGTCAGGGAAGGGTCTCCAGGTGCCCCAAACACAATCTCAGTCTCAACATTTTCTAACCCTCCATGAAAGGGAATTAAAGCGTCACAGTAAAATAAGGTCATACACAACTAGGGACCCTGTTTAGTCGGAAGTTTACTTCTCATACCTGGGCTAGGGATCTTCATAAATCATGAAGAAATGAATGAATGAATGAATGAATGAATGAATGAAAGGTCAACTAAAGTGTCCTATTTCCCTTCTTGGTCCCGGTTGTCCCTATTCCTACTGATATCCCAGATCCCAATAAAAGGGGCCCAGGAAGGAGCCTCTGGCTTACCCATGGCATTGCTGTTGAGCAGAAGCACTCCGTGGGCACTGCCGTCCTCCTCCAGGCCCATGTAGTAGGGGTGGACGCCATAGGAATTCTTCTTGTACTGGGAGAGTCGTGGGGAAAGTAGTTGAGAAACAAAAAGAGAAAAGCCCCCAAAATTCATTCCACCTTATACCCCAAACAGCCAGCCCCTCTACTCAACACTGAAGATTTAGAACAATGTCAGGCCCTCTGTGAAGCCTTCCTTGACCCTCCCTTCCACCACAAGCAAGAAGCTAAGTGCCATTCCCTCTATGCCCTCCTTGTTTATTATCACACAGTTCTATTATCACACTGATTACATGGCCACCACTACTTCTGCAGCTTACTCATGAGCCTATAAGCCTCTGGAGAACAAAGACAGTGTTTTGTGAAATAACACAGTGACTTATTAAATAAGACGATCTTATTCTGTGTGTGCCTGGCACATAAAGTATATTAAATAAAAGTTTATAAAATAAAATTCATAGTACACATAGAATATAGTATGTATATATTCTACATATATGTAAGTATGTGTGTATATATATATTCTAAAAGACATTTATGAACAGGAGAGCATTATATAACACGTGGCCTATTTCATTTGACAGCACAATTTATCGACATAAGCTGAAGTTGGTGAATAGGGTACTATGCATGAAGTAAAATAGATTTACAGAGTGCCCTGGTCAGATGGCTCAGTTGGTTGGTGCTTTGTCCCATACACTAAAAGGTTGTGGGTTCAATTCCCAGTCACAGGCCATGCCTAGGTTGTGGGCTCAGTCCCCAGCTGGGGTGCATACAGGAGGTAACTGATTAATGTTTCTCTCTCTCTCCCCCTCTCTAAAATCAGTAAACATATCCTTGAGTGTGGATTAATAATAATAAATAAGTAAATTTACACAGAGAGAAACTGATCGATAATCTCACTCTTCTGTGCTTACCGCTGGTGGCTCATCTCGAGCAAACATTCCCCACGTGTTCCAGCTAATGTTCCTTCTGAAGGCTGTGTGCTCAGTTTCTCCAAAGCCATAGATGTTCTCAGAGGGGAGGCGAGTAGAAATGGAAAGGAACTTGTCATCGAAGGTGAAGCCGGGGAGCTGAGAGTCCCAACTGGAACACAAAGGCGTGCTTTCAAGCTAAGCTGCTCACAGAGCAGAGCCAACAAGGAACACGGTCAGGATGTCTAGCTCATTCCAAAGCTGGCTGAATGACTGCACACCTGGATGCAGGTTCAAATACTGGGCGCTGACCCAGGCTTTATGAATGGCCATGACTCACTACCAAGGTTCTGTGTTTGCATTTTTATTCCATGGTTTGCAAGACTGGCAACTAACTCCTTTGCTGATTTATGGACCCTTGAGAGTCTCACTCAGCTCTGTATTTTTAGTTCTCATTGCCTGGCATATCAGCTTGAATCAATGAATAGTGTCCAAGCAAATGTTCCAATAGAAAAGTCTGGGAAATCAATGAATAGTGTCCAAGCAAATGTTCCAATAGAAAAGTCTGGGAAACGCAGACTTTTCTGGATTGGCTAAAGCGCTTCTTTATCAAAGAAGTCAACAGACAGAAAGTCAGACACATGGTCAAAGACAACCAGAGGCTGTCCACACGTGCCCATACAGGTGACGGTTTTCTGTGAGGGTGGGGAGGCAAAACCCAGACCTTGGGTTCATGCCAATCAGCAGCAGGACTGGGATGAGAGGTGGCAATTCCTTTCACGCTCAACATTGTGAACAAGCTGTAAGTCTACAGTGTCAATAGAAGCAAAGACCATAAGACACCATTTCTCTTTCCTCAGTGACCTTTACCCCTCTCTCCTGACTCTTCTTTTACTATTTCTTTATGGGGCAAACAACGTGTTCTTCTACTTAACAAGAACAATGAGTAGGACATGGATTTTGCTTTTTCTGAAATCAAGCAACATTTAGTACTTTTAAACCTTTGATTGGTTTAAAATGAAATCCCCATTGAAGTAGGGGGAAACAGATATTCTCTCTCTGTAGAAAAACAAACACACACAGTCTCAAAGGTCAACATTTCACTTGCATTAATTATAACCACTGTGAGTAGATCTATAAGCACTCTAATTAGAACCAAACAAATAGTGCTTACATCACAGTGCCGGAGCTATTTCGTCGAATCTGGATCCCGAAAGGATTGTTCTGAATCTCGACATCATACAGACGGTTTTCGGGGGAGCCAACTGGAGAGGAGGGGGTATTCAGAGGCACTGGTACCTCATACCTTTTATTAGTGGGGTCATAGACCTGACAAGGAGAGAGGAGGAGACTTACTGATGGAATCTCAAACCGAAGGGCCCTCACACCAGCTCAGACAATTCAGTTCCCATCAGGAGGTCTCCACTGTCCCAAAGCAGACAGACAGACGAGGGTCCTGCCTACCCACTGTGCCCAACACAGAGCCTCAACTGCAAAAATGCCTCAGAGACATGCATTCAAAGCCAGGCGGGGCATATCCTCTAAAGAATTTGTCGTTTAAGGGTACAAAATCTCACAGACAGGATGCATGTGTGTTTATCAGTGCGGCATGTGAGCAGGTATGTACACGGAACTATACGAGATCATGCGTGAGCATGTGTGCGTATGGCAGAAATCAGAGAACTGAGCTGTCATATACATGCTGAGATATTCTTACTAGTTGAGCTTCCAGATGTGGCTCAGCTTTTCTGTTCTGAAGATTGCTCCTCTGTGCCTATCGCTCACTTCTACCCATCAGAACTGCTGTGAGGGCAGAATGACAGAGGGGCCACACATCATGCAAGGTTGGGTAGCGTCGCCATCATGAGCAATCACCCTTTTTCTCAAATCAGTATTAGCCCACATATTACCCTTAGGACACATTTTGTTGGAAGTCTTGCTTCTCCAAATTCTGTTTTTCAGACCAAAAGCAGCAATATTATCAGGGAACCTGTTAGCCATGAAGAAACTTGGCCCCACCCCCAGACTTTCTGAATCAGAATTTCCACTTTGACAAGATCCCTACGGGACTCCTCCCACGTCAAATGTGAAAAGCAATGTCTGCAGTGAGCTGTCCGGGGTGGTACCCATTACCTACATGGGGCCATTAAATCCTTGAAATATGCTAGTCTGAATGGAGACTCACTGTAAATGCAAAATCCACAGCAGATTTTGAAGACTTCCCATGATCATAAGATTCAAAAGTATCTCAACAATGGATTCCATGATGAAATGAAAACATTTTAGTACATTGGTTGAATTAAGTGCTATTACAATCAATTTCACCTGAATTATTTCAAATACGTTCTTTAAAAGATGGTTGTTGGAAAACACACGCACTTCTCATTGTATTTTTACTGGAGCGGAGCGGTGCCTCTCCAAGAGTGGTCCCTTAACATGCGTGCAGAACCACACTCACTTGGGAACTTGTTAGAAATGCAGATTCGTGGTCAGGAAACCCTGGGCAGGAGGCCTAGCAATCTGAGTTTGAACAAGACCTGCAGGTGATTCCGATGCACATGAAGCCAAAGTATCAGCTGCAGGAGAAGCCACGGTAATGGGGGAAGTGTGTTAAGTTTACCACTTGTGTGAGCTTATCACAAAGCAGGCACATTTTTCTCTGGGCTGAGGAGGGATTCTTGGAGGGTCTTTCTGATGTAGAGGAGCCATCACTGTAGGAAACTGACAACCCTGGTGGTGCCAAGGCCACAGCCTGGACCCTACTACCTCCTAAATTCCTGACCTTTATTTACCTCTCTGGGCCTTGGCACTCTCATCTCTAAAATGAGGGATCTGGACAAAAAGATGTTTTCAAGGACTTCCACCCATAAGAACACCCTGTTGAGGACCAGAATCTGCAACATGGGGGTTACCTTGAACTGCAGCATGCTTTCTGTGTGGTAGGTCACGCTGAGCTTAAGGAAGCTGATCTTTGCAGAGAGAGTGTCAGAGGTCCTGGCTGCTGCAGACAGAGGGAGGGCACCCTGTGGTAATGGTGGTGCTGCTGCTGCTTGTGGGGACTCAGAGGCCGTCAGATGTGTAAGGTCCACGCTGATGCCAGTGGGCAAATACTGAATGTTACTGGCAGCATAATTAGGGATAGTGTCGTAGAAACAGGTGGGCACACCAGGAACGGTTGTGGGCTGTAACGAGAGGAGGAATCTCTCAGTTGGCCTCTAACACCACACCCTGAGGCTCTAATTACTGAAGAAGTTAGGTAACCCAGACTAAGTCCGTGACACCATGCTGTTGTTATGGGTTGAACTGCATTCCCCCCCACAAGATGTTAAGTCCTGACACCTTGTACCTTTATGTGGATGTCTATAGGGCCTTTGCAGATGGCCTAGTTAAATGAGGTCATTAGGGTGGGCCTATGCCAATATAACTGGTGTCCTTATTAAATAGGCAAATTTGGACACAGAGACAAACATGCACCTGGGGAAAGGACATCCTGTAAAGATGAAGGCAGGGATTGTGGTGAAGTTTTTATGAATCAATGAACACCTCAGATTGCCAGGAAACTGCAAGAAGCTAGAAGAGAGATTTGGAACAGATTCTCCCTCCCAGCCCTTGAAAGGAGCCAACCCTGCCAACACCTTGACTTTGAACTCGTAGCTCTCAAAACACTGGTGTGATATATCTCTGTAGTTTTCAATCACTCAGTTTGTGGAACCTCATTATGGCAGCTCTAGCAAATGAATGCACCCGTTTAAAACACACACACACACACACACACACACACACACACACACACACATATACACACACCCCTCCTGTAACACGTGAGAAGTGAAGGGTCAGCAGGAAGCCTGATCTGGAGACTGGGGTCCTAAGGCAGGTTCTGCTCCCAGAATCCCCCCCCTCGTTTTGCTGTGGGATAGTTGCCCCCACTGTCATGTTGAGGAAGTCATGTATTTTCTCTGACTTTCATTCCCTCCATTTTTCAAGTGGAGAGGAAGACTTATACCTTACCTTCCTCCTTGGACTCTAATGAATGAAAAAAAAATCACTCAATATACTCAATGCACAGTGTATTATTATTATTATTATTATTATTATTTTTAAATACAAGTGGGGTTTAAAATGAGTCAGCTGGAGGAAAGAGAGAGCCAGAGCGGCAATGAGTTGCCTCCGATTCCGGCTCTCTCAAAGGAAAACACCATTGCCTCTCACTCAGAGTTCACGGAAGAAGTTATCTGTCGGCACAGTGTGGAAGAACTATTCCCGTTCTACCCAACAATGTTTGGAAGTGTTTTCTAGGTGCCTGATTACTCGTGTGGCACTTTCGACAAACTTCCTGCCCACTGGGGCGATCTGCCCCTCGTCCTTACCTCCCAAAGGCACCCCCGCTGACTGCACTTCTCCTCAGAGGCTGTGGGCTCCTCAGGGTAGCAGTTGAACTTCTCCAGGTCGCTGACTGGGAGTTTCCACTCAATAGAGAATTCCTGTCCCAGTACCAGTCCCTTGAGACCAGTGATCTTCACCACCTACGGAAAGAGAAAGGAGGCCACGGTGACAGATGAGGAGAGGTAGAGACACCTGGGTAACGTCCTTCCCTGATGGCCTGGACGTCAGGACAGGGGTGGGGGAGCTAGCCGTTCCTGCAATACTTCGGGGTAGTTGGGATATTACTGTTTCTCCTCGGGGGCTTTTCTCCCGGGAAAAGGACTGAATTGATGGCTCTGAGTCGAAGGGAGGGGCCTTTGCCGACTGCAGGCAGGGCCATCATTGTTAGGCGATTGCCTTCTAGGAGTGGTACGCACACCTTTCCATCGGGGTGGCAGTCACAGCAATAACTAAGTTTTATCGCGCATGCGTGTGGGCCAGGCACTGTGATGACTACTTTGTATGCATTCTCCCCATTAATGCAGCAGCGATCCCGTACTGCGAACTGGCTAGCTCCAATTTGGCTCTCTCCACACGGCTACCTCCGGTTTGTAAAATAGAAATCTCAGGTCTGTAGAGGGTTAATGCTTTGCCCAAGATCTCACAGCTAAAGGATGGCAGAGCTCAGATTAGAATCCCACTTGGCCTAATTCTAGAAGCCCAGCTCCTACCCTTTGCCATAGGTGTTGTCTAAATGGAAGGGGCCGCCCTCAGAAATGGTGCACTTCCCAGCACTTGGCATACTCAGCTAACAATGGGAATCTTTTGTCCGAGATTATGATGTTAGAGAATCATTCAAAAGGGACAAAACCGGACTACCCCTTATGTTTTAATTAACTCCCCTTTTCTCTAATGATACAATAATTGCTTAAAATACTAAGGAAAACTATCAGCTGTGTCTCATAGAGAGCCTTTAATTTAAATGAGAGGGCATATAGGTAAATACCCTCCAAAACTGGGCTGATGCATTATATAATGTAGCTTCAGCCTTGGCTGGGTAGCTTAGTAGGTTCGCACATTGTCCCGGTACATCAAGGTGGTGGGTTCAATCCTCAGTCAGAGCACATACAAGAATAAACGAATGAATGCAGAGATAATTGGAACAACAAATTGGTGGAACAACCAATCAATGTCTCTCTCTCTCTCCTTACTCTCTCTCTAAAATCAATAAAAAATAAAATAAAATAAAAATTAGTACAGTTTGAATACTGTATCAAACTGTATCACAGGTGGGATCAGCATGTCTAGCTTTAAATTCACCCAGAGAAGAGTTGCCTTCTTTCCGGGCCCCCTGACATGAAGCACAGGGGTCTGTGCTTAGCAGGCCCTTGTTTCTTTCTCTGCATCCTGCCTGTGTGTGGTAGATTTCCCAGCATGCCAGGCATCTCTGTGCCTGTCCAACCTCAACAGGGCAAGAGAGAGCTGCCTGTCAGAATCTTGGGCCAGGGCCTTCTGCAAGGGCCCTGGAGGACAGCAGGATGGGGCAGTCACCCACCTTTGCTGATTTGTTGTAGCTGACGTTTGAAATGGGGGTGGAAGCACCAATAAAGAGAATAAAATCAGCAGGTTGCTTGTCCATTCCCAAGATTGTAATATCTGTAAACATGAGGTTGTCGGTGTCCTTATAATTATTAGTCGTGATCTTTGCCTGTAGACGGTTCTGGGGGGAAAAAAGTCAGTTTAGAAAACAAGTACCTCAGACTCTAACTGTGCCCAAATAGCACTCAACATCTTTCTTCCTGAAACTGATGCCACGCCCTTTATCGCTGAGGTTCTATATGGTGCCACGGGATCATCCCAGGGAACTTGTTAACCCAGCTCCTGATAGTCCTCAGTCCTTTAGTAATAGTTTGTGCTTGCCCCGGTTCACTGGTTATTTATTGATTCTATTCATCAGAAAACAGGTTCCTGACATCATGGAATTTTCAAGCAGATAAGATGGATACTAACAAAGCAAACAAAAACCTCAGGCACACAAGAAACCCACAGCACACAAAGGTATAGACATGTGCATACACTCAAAATAGTGCCCAAGTAATTTTTCTTTTTATTCCAATGATAAGGTGGATAAGAAGTAACTGTATAAATGTGTACGATGTGCCAGGCACTGGGCTAAGCATTTTACATGTGTTACTTCATTCAATTCTCACGACAAACTATGAGGTTAGAGCTATAATGATGTCCATTTCTCAGATGAGGAGACTGAGGCCCAAAGAAATTAGATAACTTATTCAGAGACCTATAGTTCAAACATGACAAAGTTATGTCATGAAGTAGCTATGACAAACTATGCTATAGTTCAAACCTGACAAAGCTATGATGAAGAAGGTATAGCCAAAGACTAAAGAAAAAAAAGGGGGTCACTTTGATGTTTAAAAAAGACTAGGAATGCCCTGACTAGCCTATCTTAATTGGTTGAGTGTCACTCTACAAAACAGAAGGTCACCAGTTCAAGTCCCAATCAGGGTGCATAGCTGGGTTGTGGGCCAGGTCCCCAACTGGGGCATGTGCGAGAGGCAACCGATGTTTCTCTCTCACAGCAAAGATTCTCTCCCTCTTTTTCCCCCTCTCTTCACCTCTCTCCAAAATAAATAAACAAATAAACAAACAAATAAATAAATAAATAAAATCTTTTAAGAATAAAATAAAAAATAAAAAAACTCAGCATCCCACAAATATGAGCAACTGGTTTCTGCAAAGGTGCAAAAGCAATGCAGTGGAGAAAGAAGAGCCTTTTAACAGATGGGACTGGGGCAGCCAGATGAACACAGGGAAGAACTTAAACCTCAACCTAAATTTCACATTGAATATAAAACTTACATATAGAATTATACATACTGCATAATTATGTAACTCAAAATAGATCGTGGACTTAAGTGTAAAAGGGTCAAACTACATTTTTTAGGTAAAAATAGGAGAAACTATTCAAGCCCTAGGGCTAGGAGGAGTTCTTATTCTGGTAACCAAAAAGTTTGATCCACACGCATACATAAAAAATAAATCAGACCCATCCAATTTAAAAATGTTTGCTCAATGAAAAACTGTGTTACAATGATGAAAAGAGACATTTATAGACCAAAAGAAAATATTTACAAACTGTAAACACAACAAAGGACTAGTTTCTAAAATATTTTTTAAAAACACTCTCAAAACTGAACAGAAAAATAAGGCAAATAATCCAATTAGGAAATGGGCAAAAGACCGGGATAGACATTTCACCTAAGAGAACATACCAATGGCAAATGGGCACCTGAAAAGATGGCCAACCTCCTCAGGCATGAGAGAAAGAGAAACTGGGACCACCATGACCTGTCAGCACACCCTTAGGAGAAGGGCTAAAATAACATTGAAAAATCATGACATCAGATGCTGGTTAGGATGCATGGAAACTGGGCCATATACTCATGGTGTGAATGAAAAATGGTCCAGCCACTTTGGAAAAGTTTGTCACTTTCTTATCAAACTAAACATGCCCTTGCTATAGAACCCAGCGTTGGCACTCCCGGACATTTACACCAGAGAAATGAAGATGTATGTTCACACAAAACCCTATCCATAAAGTTCACAGCAGCTTATTTGAAACAGTCCCTGATAGAATCAGCCTAGATGCTCTCTACTGAGTGAACTGCTCAATGAAAGCTGGGCAGCTATGACTTGGAACGCTACTCATTACAGAAAGAACTGTGGATACACAACATCATGGATGAATATTGAGGGAATTACACTGAATGAAAAAAGCCCATTCCCAAGACTTCATGCTATATGATTCCATTTAGAGAACATTCTTGAAAGGACAAAACTATAGAAATGACAAACTGAATAGTGGTTGCCAGGGACTAAGAAAGGGGGTGGGGGGAGGAGGCAAGTAGATGTGGCTATGAAAGGGCAGCTGAGGAATCCCTGGGGTGATGGAAATGTTCTCCATCCTGAGAGCATCAGTGTCACATCCTCGTTCTGATATTGAACCGTGGCTTTCTAAGATGCTACCTTTGGGGAGAGTGGGTAAAGAGTAAAAGAGATCTCTCTGTATGACTTCTTACAACAACATGGGGCTCTACAGACATCACAAAATAAAAAGTAAAACTGAAAGAAACTATAAATTTAAAAGAAAAGAAATAAGGGAGAGATCCGCATAAAAGAAGGCTTTGTCCTCACACAATCAGACTTCCAAGAAACCCAAAGGACAATGCTCCCCTCCTCTGGTGAACTAACTTGCCTTTCTTCCTGTTCGTCCCCCTGGGAAACAGACCATGTAAACAATCTTCTCCCAGCCTCTCAAAACTTGGCCTTTATACCTGCACCCAAGGCCAAGTTTAGGGACTAGAAAGGAAGGTCGTTATGGAAGGACTTCAAACAGGCACTGCACCACTCCGCACTCTCACCCACACCCCACACCCCACACCCCACACACACTGGCAGCCCCACCCCCTGCCAAATAAGGGCACATCTTGGAAGCCATGACTCACCATATAAAACTCAGAGTCAAGGAAAAAAGTAGTACTTACGGAGGTGACAGAAAACTCATAGAGAGTGTAATTCTTTTCAGTTACAGCATCTGAGAGAGAGAGAGAAGGAGGAGAGCCTCTTACAGGGGAAGAAGAGGCATTTCTCTTCCTTTGCCATGGGATCCCTCTTAGCCAGGTACCTGTTTTTGTCAAACCTCCACAAAGGCTTCCTGGCGCCTTCAGCACAGTAAAGTGGCCCACCCTCTGAGCTCTCATGGCACTATGAAGTACTATATCACTGGCATTTAAAACTTTTGACTCACATTATAGTTACCTGCATGCAGGATGTGTCTATCCTGCTGTAGCAGGAGATCCTCAAGGGCAATGTCTATGTTTTATTGACCTCTAGATCCCCTGTATACAGTGCAATGATAAATAGCCAATAAATATTAATACATGCTAATTCCGTGTAGGGCTGGATTTTCATATAATCATAGGCCATAGGCTTATATGAGGCGCTTACATGGAAATCCTACAGTGGAAAAACATAGTACACAAATGAGATCCTTCCCCTCAATAGTAACCAAAGAAGTATTTTGCAAAACTACTAGCAAAATGTATTATTAGGTATTAATAATGATACCCAGAGGAGAGAATAATTAAATACAATAATGTCTGTTGTTTGAATAGAGTCAATAACAGACATGTTGATCACCTGAAGTCTTCTTTAATGCATTGCACTTGGCCAACCAAGCCTCAGAATATACTGGCTATAAACTGCAGAAGTAAGCAGCGGTGACAACAAAGTCAGCGCTGTGCTGGGCAGCCTGCAATGACTAATCTCACGGAGCACTGCAGGGACAGTGTGTGGGGAAGTCTACCTGCAGATTCACCGTCATCCCAGTACAGCTGTCCCTTTGCTTCTCGCTTATAGTCCAAGGCAATGATGAGCCCCAGGGAATTCTTCCGACTGTAAAAGAGCAAGTCTCAGTTTCAGAGAATGAAGATGAGATAAGAACTGGGGTAAATCAGCCCCCCTCGTGCCCCACAGGTGGGTCATCCCAGAGTCTCTCCCAGACACTGTGTAGATACTGACCTTGTATGGAAACAGGGCAGTGGGGTGTGAGTGGACAGCAGAGGTTAGCAAGGAATGAGCATAAGAAGAAGAGTCGAAGGAGAGGGTTCCTGCTGAAAACTGGATTTGTAATAACACTAACCATCAAGTGAGCACCATTAGGGTCCTACCATGTGTCAGGGACTCTTCTAACTACCAAATATACATGAAATCATTTATGTTAGTCCATTTGATCTTTATAATAACTCTAAAAGTAAAACTACCATCATCCACAGTTTATGAGTGATAAGCAGAAACACAGAGAGTAAGTGGTCATCATAACACGTCTGGTATGTTGTAGAATTAGGGCCCCAAATTTCAGACTCTTGACCTTGAAGCGATGTTTGTTGACTTTGGCTCCTATTTAACCTGCATTCTCTCTTGTCTAAGGGAATCTCCTTGAGGGCAATTTTTGACCATGAGGAAATTCCCTGAGCGATCATTTGACTCTTCTTATAATGTGATTCAATCCATGAGTGAAAGACTAGGGAAACGCAACAGACACTACAATTACCCACGCTGAGTGAATTCTAAGATGTTAATGTTGGGTCAACCCTGAAACAAGGGAGGAGGATCCCTGACTGGACATGTCTCCCTGGTTCATCCACATTTAGTCCCTATATTCACCTTTCCCACAATGCCCTACCTCTTGGAGCTTGAGAGCCGTCCCACCTTGGAAGAGTGAGGAGCTTACCTGGCCTCTGTGGTTGTGCTTGGCTGCTGGGTGGGAAATATGTAGCCCCCTCGAAGGTGAAGTCCTATCTTATCAGGGGGCAGCAGCATCTGTACCAATTGTTTCCTCCATTGGGTGGCTACTCCCTAAGCAGAAAAAAAAAAAGAAAAAAGCAAAAAAAAAAGCTGATCATTGGCTGTTTGGGCTAGAAGACACCGTGGAGAGCTTATTGCTTAGCTGTCTCATTTTAAATAAGAGAAAACCAGACACCGCCCACCCCCTCCCCCTGCCAAAGTGAAGTGACCTGTCCAAGGCATACAAGCAGTAAGTAGACAGCAAAGCTGAGGCTCCACCTCATTTCTTTGTACGACCCCACGCTGTGATTCCACCAAGGCTTTTGTTCCATAAGCTATCCCAGCCTACGTCCAAATGGCTAGTCCTGACAGCTGCAGAGTGCTCAGGTGGACATAATGAAAATTCCCATCAACCTACCCTAGTTATTCAAATTATTTCATCGTACCTTTGGAAAGGCCTTCCGCAGGGAAGAACACCCACAATCAATTACAATGTAAAACCTTGTATTATCATCCTTCCCCAAGCTCCTAACACAGTTGCTGCCTTACAATGGTCCTCTGCTAGAGCCAGGTCTCTGGGCCAAGTGCACCACCTCACTTACTGTCTCATAGTCGTACCAGATGGCATCCGGTATGTATGCTTCCACTCCATCCGCACCCTAGGGAAACAACAGTAATGAGCAACATTAGCACACTTCCTTGCAGTTTACACACACCTCCCCATGTGCCTCCAGGTGCCCCTCTGAACAGCTTCCCACTCTACCAATAAAAATGCAGACACTCAGTGAGGCTGAGCTGTGCCAGCAGTTAAGTTTGTTTTGCTTCCTGGCTCCTGAACTTCCTAAGAGATGCAGAGGAAGTTCATTCACTGAGTTACTTGTGTAATCTGACAGGTGGGAGGAGACTGAACTAGTCAGACGCCCAGGAAAGCCTTCCAGTAGGACCACTCACTGGTCAGCTGGACCCACCATGAAACAGTGTGGCCAAAACACCAGCTCCAAGGGCCTTTGACATGAGAAACTTGGTGATTTTTCATGTTACAAACTGATCAGCATACTACTGATCCTGCTCCTCTTTCCCCCACTTTTCCCCACTCACAGTTGCCCCAATCACACCATGAACTCCCCAGGAACGCCCTCCTCTTACCCTGCACTCCTCTCTCCCTCCCTGCCCCTTTCTAACCCCCATCTCACATGCTTTCTGGTCAGAGGGAAACATAGGCAGATGGCCAATCCAAGGCATTTGAGGGCCCTGTCGACATCCATATGCTTAAAGACACAGGCTTGAATGTAATCTTGCAAAATGGAAATTGTTTTTCTTCGTCCGGCAGTGGAACCAATAGTTACTATTTTTCTAATTTCCAAACTTTCCAGAATCTTTCTCTCCTTTATATTCATAGTTATATTTAAATGCAGCCAAAGACACTCAGGTTCCAGCTTATTCAGCTATAGATCCATGAGGACAACTGCAAGGTCCCACCCCACTGTTCAGATTATAAACATACTTCATATAAAACCGGTGTGATGAGGAGTCCAGGCCCCCATAAGAACTGCTCGTGCACCTCCCACGTAGCTGGGTCCTGGTAGAACCTGGAAAACAGAGAAGGCAGGTGAAGCCCCCAGTACTGGCAGGCAGCTCATTGTATGGTAACGAGGTCCTTGTGAACCTTGTTGGCACTAACAAGGGAAGTAGAATTACGATCTGAAAGGATGTCTTCGAGGGTCAGGAAACTTACTCGTGGACCAGGGGCCTGGCCACGGTCTCCCCCAGGGTGTGAGCGCGGTAGAAGAGGGTGTAGAGGTAGGGCAGCAGGGTGTAGCGGATGTTCAGATAATGCCTGGAGGAGTTCAACAGCAGAGAGTCGTCCCCAAAGGCTGCAGGATCCTGGTCCTAGAAGGAACCGTAAGTAATTACTAAACATTTCCATCGTATTTTAAAAGTTCCTGTTGATCAGAAGCTTTCACATACGAAAGGAGTTATGTTATGGAACTTGAAGATGTCAAAGCATTTCTAGAACTGTAAGGAGCTGGGTCCTGCCCCTTGGTTTTATAGATGAGAAAAACACATCAGAGGTTACGTGACCTTCCCAGGGTGAACTGCAAGTAAGTGGCAGGGTTTAAATTTGATGGTGTCTTTGGATATCAGTCTGTGGCAGCTTCGGGGTGGTAGAGGAACCTACAGAGGTTGCCAAGCAGATAAAGGGCCTAGCGTGGGCTCTGCCCCTCAGGGTTGCGCCAGTGGATTTCAGATATTGAGGTTTCTCGAGCTACATCATTTGGCAAATAATAAGAATAAAGAGAATTTGAAACCCATTGCCTTAAGCCGCATATTGCCTAACCACCACGGTCTAGAATCCATGTCTTCTTTCCATGCTCTTTTATGAATCTGAAATTTTATTTATTGATCTTTTGAATTTTACTTTAATCAAAGTTGATAAAGAATCTATTAGTTTCAGGTGTATGACATAGTGGTTCAACATTCATACAGGTCACAAAGTGACCACCATCGTTAGTCTAGGAACTGTCTGCCATCACACAGTTATTCTCTTACTGGTTCTATTCTCTATGCTGTGCATTATATCCCATAACTTATTCCATTTATTTTATTTTTTGTTGTTGATATTGTTACAGATGTCTTCCATTCCCGACTCCATCCCCACCAGGCCTTCATTACATTGTCTATGTTTGTGGGCTATGTATCTACAATCTTCGGAATTTATGTCTGGTTTCTCGTATAATGTTTTCACCAGGAAAATTTGTTTTACTTTCTCTGTCCCCAAGACAGTGACCTCTATTTGTTCTTCAATACACAAAGTGCAAAGCAATCATGAAGAGAATTTTTAGCAGATTTTAGCTAGGAGGAATAAAACAACCCTTCACAAGGGAAATCTAATTGTGTTAGGACCCAGAAACATAAAGTTTCCCTCATTTTGTTCACTTGCCTTGTACTTTGAAAGTGGTGCATATATTTAGACTTGCCAGCCTGTAGTGTATTATGGGGACTGAATTTTAGAAAAAAAATTATCTGAATGTATCCCCTTCTTTTGTTTCTTAAGTTGCCCATTTCCCTCTCCAACTAGAACTACTCTGTGAGACCACTTAGTGCCCCAATACAGGGTTCAGCGAAAACCCTGAGGCCAAACACTGAAGAAAATAATACTCCAGTGTCACCCCGGCCTCCAACTGAGACGACCTAGAGCTGCCCTGCCCCCCAGGACGGCCACAAGCCATGTGAAGCTACCGAATACTTGAGCTGTCGTTAGTAAGACTGAGGAACTAAACTTCTAAATTACATTTAATTGTACTTATTTTAAATATAAACCTGAAAATTGAATCAATGTAAAATATATTTTTTCAATGAAACACAACTTTATTGTTCTGGTGGGACTGCATTTCCCTCCAGCTGCTGCAAATATAGTATCCAAACTGAGATGTATTACAAGTATAAAATGCACACTGAATTTTGAAGGCTTAGTATAGAAAGAAAAGAATATAAAATAACTCATTTATTATTAATATTTTGTATAAAATAGGCATTGAAATGATATTCAGGATAGATTGAGTTATATAAAATAAATTTAAAATAGTTGCTCCTGTTTCTTTGTGCCTTTTGGACCTGCTTCTAAGCTTCCATGTGTGGCTCCCATTGCCCTGGGTGGTCAGCACTAGTTGGGGGGGAAGAAAACCAGCCCTGTACCCAGGCAGCCTGGGTGACTGCATGCTCTTACTGACAAAAGTCCTTCCGGGCCACTCCTTCAGGAAGAGCATCCACCCTCCCTGCTCCCAGCCCCTTGCTTAGAAATCAGGAAGAGTCCATCTCTTTCTAGATCACAAATGGCTAGGAACAGCCTGGGGATAAAATCCTTTGAAGATCCAACTACAAATCTCTCCCAGGTCAGAGATATGACATTGGATAAAGTCCAGAACTGCAGCTAAAATGATTATCAGTGAGTTATTATAGTGAGCCTATTAGGAGCTAAACCACTCAATTAGCAGATTTCTTCATTTAAAAAAAAGGGCCTCCCCTTCTTGCCTGCAGGGTCTCTTTTGAGAAATCTGCTGACAGTCTGATGGGAACTCCTTTGTAGGTGACTGGGTCCCCTTATCTCT